GTGCCCGCCCTCGCCATCGCTCTGAAAAACAACCCCGCTCTTCGCTGCATCGACATCAGCCGACCTCTGCTCTTTAGCCACCAGGTATGACATCATCATCATCATCATCATCATCATCATCGCTCACAGGTCACCCTTGCACATGTAACCGTCTGTGTGACCTCAGGAGGAGTGGGCGGAGCACTGGGCCAACATGCTGGCTCTGAACAGCAGCCTGGTGGAGCTCCATCTAGGGAAGACAGGGTTGACAGACACCGGGACGGAGAAACTGACCCGCGGTCTGAGGTTCAACCACAGCCTGCGTTACCTGGACCTCCGCTGGTATGACCCATAAAACCTTCAATTCAAGTTGATGTTTGAACGGATTTCAACAGGACGTTCTCCTTCACAGCCCAAACAAAAGGAGAACCAGAGCCAAACACAGCTCCCCAGGAGTCCAATTCAAGTATATCAATTATGTTTTTCCTCCCTTTCTCACATACAGCAACCACGTGACCCGTGATGGAGTCCACCATCTGACTAAGATGCTGAGGGAGAACCAGACCCTGGAGCTCATTGATCTGTCCTCCAACCGGATTGAGGATGAAGGTGCCGAGTATCTGAGCGAGGCGATCACGTCTCCAGGCTGCAGCCTGAAAGAGTGAGTCCATCAGATGGATTACAGTGACGTTGAAGCCATTTTTACATGTTTTTGTTCTCTCCATTAGGCTGTCAGTGAAAAGCAACAACATCACTACACAGGGTCTGCTAGCTCTGACTCGAGCGATCAAAGCTAACACGACTCTGACTCACATCTACGTTTGGGGGAACCACTTGGAGGAGCCAGTCTGTAAGGTAACCAAGTCCATAGAGAAATCAGTGGTCTTAATTCACAGGGACAAAGATCTACTGCTGCCTCCTGTGGTGAGATTGTGTCATTAAAGTTCTAAACATGGTTACTCATTTTAGCCCCATTTCCTTCAGGCCTTCAGAGAGCTGGTCTCCAGCAACCGTCTGCAGCCACATCAGACTGATGTCAGCGCCTATGAGGTCGACGGTCAGGTGTTCCTGGCCGAGGCCTCCCATTGCTTGAGGAGACATTTTTACAGCTTGGATGATTATGGTACAAATACACAACCCTGACAACAAGCACCGGCTCCAGCCGACAGGAAACAAACTGAACACCAGTCATGATTTAAATGACTTTTTTGCATCCAAAAACTTTGTCATATCAATGAAATAAAAGCATTCTTCAACAATGTATACACGGTTACTTTTTATCATATTAACTGTGATATGTTAAGGTGTTTTAAGAGAAGTGTCTCACATGATCAGGTCACTCCTCTGTCTTCTCTGGATTGGTCGTCTGATGTGATGACACTCCATCTTTTACCTCAGTATCAAACTCCAGCAAGACTTTCCTCTTCTTCAAACACTGCTTCAGCTTCTGTCGCTCCTGGCTGCTGATCCTCCATCTCTGAGCGGACAGTCTGCTCAGAGCCGTCAGCCCAGGCAGAGCCCGGAGTAGTGCCGGCAGCCAGGAGGAGCAGGAGGCGGAGCTTGAAGGTCTAAGGCTGAGGTCCAACTCCTCCAGTGAGCCCAGGCCTCCCGCCTCAAAGAGGGCACACCAGCCATCGTCACCCACTGAGGCGTTGTAGGAGACGTCACAGAGGCGGAGTGAAGACAGTCGACCGTGTCTGCACGCAGATGCTGCAAAAACACCACAGACGTAGACTTCAACCAAACGTGTACTCGTAATACCAACTCACAGGTGTGGCCTCCTACCCAGGTGACACAGGTCCTCAGTGGACAGCCCACAGCTGCTGAGACGAAGCTCAAGGAGAACAGAAGGCTGCAATGCATCCAGGAGAAGAGAGGTGCGACCGCCAACGACTTTACACCAAGAAACATCTATGCTGCGGAGATACGGTGCCACCAGAACTGTGAGAGAGAGACACAAAGTTTGAGTGACAGTAAGACAGGCAGCAGTGATGAGGTGAGAACGTCAGTAAGGATGTGGGTAAGAGTGGACACAGGTCCATGTGTGCTGTGCAGCAGTGGATGTGCTGTTCGTACCCAGAGCAGTGAAGGACTCCTGGCTGAGGCTGCAGCTGTTTAATGGTAAACGCTTCATCTGCACCAACGGGAGGGCCGAGACCAGATCTTTGGCCACACCCCCCGCCTCCTTATTGGACGACACATCCAGAGCTGTTAGTGCAGTCAGAAAGGGCAGAACCTGGACTGGAAATAGTGAACATGACTGGTGCTGCCAAGAACACACACACAGACACACACACACACGCAGACACTCACTCAGTGCCTCCAGGTCTGCACAGGTAAGACAGGACATGTGAAGGTCCAGGCTCTCTAGGTGTGTGAGGTGAGCCAGGTCAGAGGTGAGCTGGTCCAATCCTCCTGACAAACCCCTGTTACAGGACACGTCCAATTCTCGAAGTGATGTGAGGGAAACACACGCACTACCTGTGTGGGGACGAAGTGGGGACGATGTTTAGGTGAACGTTACACTCATAACAACACACAGCTGACTGCAGTACATCTCCTACCAAGATCATTCAGGTGGTCAGTGCTCAGGCCACAGTCGTGTAGCCGCAAAGTTGTGAGAGAAGTGGCGTTGGAGAGGGCGGCAGCCATGTCTCTGAAACATCCGCCCTCCACTTCCTGTGTGAGCTGAGGGTTAGAGGAAATGTCCAGGACGCAGAGTCTGGGCTGAGCACACAGAGCTCCTCCTAAGAACAAAACAAACACAATACAATGACCTAACATTTAGACATGTTTTCTTCCTGTGGCATCATGGGTAATGTAGCAATCCCATTTCCAGAAAAGGGGAAGCAGGTAAAGATTTTAAAGTAGAAAAGCATAAAATACACATGAGCATAAAAAAAAGTCAAAGTCATCAAACATTTAGTCTTTGCGAGCTAGGAATAGTCATAGTTACCAGTGAAAAAAAATAACTTTTTGAAAGTGTGTAATTTGAAGTATGTAAACAAATATCAAAGTGTACCATAATTTCAACTAAAAGTTTCTCTCTTTTCTGTTTTTAATAATTTTTAACATTTAAAAAATGTCCAGTTCTTTCAGTCCTGACCCAGATGTAGTTATCCATTTTGTCCACAAGACGGCAGCAGTCTACTTAATCAACGTAAACGTAATGCCTGTGTTAATGACTTAAGCTGATCGATTTTAATAAAAAGGGGCTACTGTGGTGCAGTGGATGATATGGTGTCAAAGAGAGAAATCAAACAGACTTTAGTGTCGATGTGCTTTGGAAATCTGCACCTAAATCCTTAACAAACAAGAGAACTTCACTCTGATTTATTACCCAGTGCAGCAGCATCTGCTGCAGTAAGCTGACAGGCCACTAGGTGAATCTCCCTCAATGTTGCTGGTAGTTTACCCAGCAGGCTTTGCAGGCCTTTTCCACCAATGCCACCATTCCAGGACAAATCGAGGATCTCTAACAGAGGGATAGCGCTGAGAGCGTCACCTACCAAAAACAAGTCACAACAACAACAAAAACAAAACAGAGAAAGAGTTGCCTTTACTGTTGAAACAATTCACTGCAATATGCACTAAAGTAGAAAGTGTTTGGTGATACCCAGCTCTGTGACATCATCATTATTCAACCTGCAGTGACACAGCCTCAACACCCTGATCCCGCCCACATGACTGAGGTGAGATGACAGTGCGCCAAGACTTCCTCCAATCAGCTCGTTCCAGGAGACATCCATCTCTTCCAGGTTGGGGAGGAATTGAAGCAACGTGGCTGTGGAAGAGGAAGGACAGTGATCGTCAATGGACATGTGTATGTGTGTGTTTTCAGTGGTGGAATAAGGATTAAACTCTTACAAACTGCTTCTATTGTTAAAATAAACAATTAATATACATTTTAGTGACTTTCCACCCTACCCTTTATTTAAAATAACCTAATTTGATAAAGATTTAAAGGAATGTTCCTTCTGTAACACATCTAATAATACTTAATAATAGCTCTTATTTAAATTTTGGAACCAAAGAAATGTTTTTACAGAAGCTTCTATTTACTTTTTAAGATAATTTGAAAACTTTCTTAGACATTTTTGTAACCTTTCAAACTAATTCTTTTCTTCTCTGCTTTGAAACACCAGAGCCCCAACACACAGTGGATACAGTGGTGCAGGTGTACATACCTAGCTCCATCAAATCTGTAGCCGTCAGGTCACAGTGGGCCACGCTGAGGCTCCTGGTGTCTGCCTTTTTTCCAAGTTTCTGTAGAAAAACACAGACTCGTCCCCAGCCACCACCGTTTGCCTCATCTTCTGCTGCTTTAGTGAAACCTAAAATACACAATCACAAGAGTAAAAACCTGTGACACATGAGGCGTGTTAACCAGGCTATTCAGCAATATGGATGTTTGCTAAGTAGCAATCTACACCAAACTGATTGATAAGGTCAGGGTATAAGCTAGGTTTGCTAGCTACCAATCATACGTTTAACAATTAGGATTCTTTTTTCTCGTACAATGGGACTGATGTTAGCATGATTGCTAGCTATTCTAACATTTGATCAAATTTAGTTAAATAACTGCATTTTAAAATAAAATTCTGAATATAAAGAACTTGGTAAGTTTATTATATCTCGTTTTGTTGTTGTTGTTTTTGTTTTGCTTGAATGAATGACATCTCTTCCAAAATATGTCTTCTATGAATAGTCCTAAGGGTTCACTCTGATCATCTGTGACACTATACTCTCAAGAAAAAAGAAAAGTAAACAGTGACCTGAGACATTCTCCCGCGTCTCTGTCCCCAAGTCCTCTGCGATCCCCGTTCGCTCTGTGGAGCGGGAAAGAAATCGTCCAAGTGGCTTCCTGTCTGGGGCTGTGCGTTTACCGCGAATCTGGCTCATGATTACGTCGAGAGCGGAACGTCTTGGAGCAACCCCCTCCCGCCCATGCTGAGCATCTGATCAATGAGAGACAAAGAAATGAACACAATGTCTTGTACTTATAAAATAAAACCGACCGATTGTAAATATGTCCAATAAGACACACCTTTGTTCATATGTTGCCTGTAATTAAGGTATAATGAATGATGTGGAGATGTTTCAGCAGCTTAGATAACTTGGAGGAGAGTGGACTAAAAATTGAAACCTGAACTGTAGTCTGTTATTCAACAAAAAGGAATCAAATTACTGTTAGAATTAAGTTTCAATAACTATTACTTTTTTGTTTTTGTCGCTCATTTTTAGCAACATAAGCTAATATGGATGCTACAAGCAACTTTCGAACAACCCCAACAGAAACCAAAAACGTTAGGCACGGTGTGAACAGCTACTAAAGTGTAAAACTTTCACTTAAAAGTTACAATTTGACTTCAATGTTAAATCATAAGTTTGACCCCAAGCAAAAAAATCACTGAGATAAGTATGTATTTAAATTTTTCTCTTTACCTGCAGCCTCCATGTGAGACGTTCAGGGACCAGACCTGTACGTAAATTCCCTGCAGCTTATCACGATTGTAATAATACTTTCACGTTTCCACAGTTTGCACTGCGGTGTTTACGCCAATTAAATAGAACCTCAGGTGTTTCAAATCAGTAAAGTCGAGTTTCTCCTTACTTTAGCCTGTGATACTTCTGTGACACCTGCCTGTGACGTCAGGACGTGTGCTTGTCAGGTGGGTCAACATACACCCGGAAGTGAGGCGACACCTTCGGTCAACGTTGGCATCGCCAGCAAACAAAAAGGCAAAGGAAATAAGAAAAGAATATTCCATGAGAAATATATATTGTAATATATTGCATTTACAATTAGCCAATACTATTGAAGGATTACTGGCAGACAACACACGTAATTGGGTTTTAAAGCACCAGGATATGAACTAAATACTAAAGTAGAATAATAAGCTTAAAAAAAAAAGAATAAACAAATCATCTATTGTTCATTTTAGCTTTGTCTCTTTGTTGCTGCCACACACGTTATTGAGAGACCTAAATACGTTTTCACCTTTTAAAGAGAAATATTTTAGACTTCACAATCCATTCTGAGTAAATTTGCACAAAAATGAGGGAAGCTATGGCTCATTATTTTTACTTTTTTCCAAAGAACAAGCAATTGGTTGATGTTCCTTTCTTGTCACAAATTGATACTTCAATCTGTCCTTTGCTACTTAAGGAAGTCCCTGAAATAACTTGCATTATCTTAAACACTATAAAGAGTTAAGAGAATAATGTTATTTTATTCCACAGGTGTAAGAACCTTACTCAGTTTCAAAAATAAAACCACACAAATGTTTATTTCCCAAATGTCTTTATTTCTCTGTGAATGTAAATGTGAGCTGATAGTCCAGGAGAATCTGCACCGAATAAAAACCTGCGGTTCACTCTGAAGGTGAACCGTTACTGTCACCAGTCTGATATTTCAGCTCCTCCTCCTCCTCTTACAGCTCCTTTGACAAAGGAGGAATTATTAAACCACTGTCAAGTCCAAATATGTTTTCTTCCTCTGTGTGTGTGAAAAAAAAAATCCAAAAATAAAATTAAAAAAAGCCCAGAAAAGTGAGACGATTCTTGTGGTGGCCTGTTTCATCATCTTCAGTCATCGTCCACTGTAGGTGTGATAGTCACGCCCCTCCTGATCTGCCCCCAGCCAATCAGACTGAATGGAAAGGGGAGAAAAAAAAAAAGAGAATGATGTAAGTGAAAGCAAAAAGTTGCTTTATTTTTTGGGGAATTTCTTACGGAGTGGCTTTAGTATCTTAGGGCAGATTTTTAAAGTAGGTCTGTCGTCCTTACCGCCAATGTTTCTCCACTCGTCGACTCAGAGCGATCTTCTCTCCCACTTCCGTACATACCGGGTTGGTCAGGACAATCTTGGCCAGATCGGCCTTGACAGCACTGACACGACCTCCTGTGGACAATGATCCGATGTTGACCATCAGCACTTCATTCTTAGACAATTTCTGGACCTGAGGGTTTTGAGAAAAAAAGAATGAGGTTACATTATGTCATTATGAGCACTATCGTCTTTATTATAGTACGTAACCAGCAGAGGCAGTTACAGGTCAGGATTTCTTTCCCATCATGCACTAGCTCACCTTGGCAGCCTTCTTGTCTCCTTCTGTGCGAACTCCCAGCAGCCTTCGCAGCAGAAAATATGAAATCTCCAGCTCAGTGAAGATCTCTGGCAGTGCTCCGACAGCACCCAGCACCTGACCCACCATACGATCTGCACGGCACAGTGTCGGGTCGATCTTGGTGCCCACACCTTCACATGAAACAACCATCACTGACTGCAAAGACACTAACTTTTTTTATTTTTATGGTTGAAATATGTTAAATATAAACATACCAATGAGGCCACCAGGGGCAGCATACTGGAGATCATTGTGCTCAGCAAACAGTGAGACGATCTTGGAGAAAATGGGTTTGCACATCAACTTCCCTTCGTGGTCTTTGGATACGATACCTGGTCGGACCTCAATCTCCTGACCCACCTGGACGACACACAGACCCATGGAGGTGAACAGGTTTATGGTTATTATTGTACCAATTTTACAACATCTCCATACAGCACAGTTTTTGCCCAAGTGTAATTATAATTTAGAATAACTATGAGAAGATCAAGAACTTATGACTAAGATTGTACACAATTCAAATGCAAATGAAGTTACCAAACAGCAGAGCATCTGTTTTTATATAATATATAATAATGTAACCAACTGTGCTGGACACTCACCTTCAGCACCCCCTTCAAAATACTTCCTCCTGCTACACCACCTTTCAGGTCGTCCACTTCGCAGCCAGGTTTGTTCACGTCAAAAGACCTGATCACTGAAAAGACATCAAGAAAAATGTAAGACATATGTTGAAGCAGAAAGCAGAAAATAACCAAGAGAAAAAAAACAGATTGTTACCTATGAGTCTGGGCTCGGAGGTGAAATCTCTGATGGGCACTGGGATCTTTTTGACGATGTACTCACAAACCACCTCAATGTTGTACTTAAGCTGAGCCGAGATAGGAATGATGGGAGCTCCCTCTGCTACTGTACCTGCAGTACATACGTTTCACACAACAATTAATAAAATAAAACTGTAGCGATAACTTAATGGATTTTCACGGAGAGTGGGGTTTTGATGAAATTACAAAAAAAGTTACAAAAATCACTTTAAACTAACCCTGTACAAATGCTAGGATCTGCTCATACTGCTCCTTGGCCTGACTCTCCTTCACCAGGTCGATCTTATTCTGCAGAATCAGGATGTGCTTCAGCTTCATGATCTCAATGGCTGCCAGGTGCTCAGAAGTCTGTGGCTGGGGACATGACTCGTTTCCAGCTGGCAGAAATGATCGATAATAAAACAATCCCAAATGAATATCCTAATACCATAATTAACATTCTATTATTTCTTAGAGGGTTGTTGTAATATAACTCACCAATCAGCAGGAGAGCTGCGTCCATGACAGCAGCTCCGTTCAGCATGGTGGCCATCAAAATGTCGTGACCAGGGCAGTCCACAAATGACACATGTCTAGAAAACAAGATTTGAAAAACTATTAAAAAAAACTAATAGGACAATTAAAAAAAAACATGGCTGCCAGAAAGAAGTCAAAACACAGGAGCAGCTGTCTCCTGTGTTCAATTGGAGTCACATGGATAAATCTAAACAAAGGATTTTAAACATTAAAGTCACAAAAAAACTAATTAGAATTTAATGGTTGTGCCAGCCATAGAAGAACAACTTCTGCATTGGGTAATGTTACAATCTGACTTTCTCCATGGCTTTTGCTGTAGCAGAGTTGTTTCCAAAAATTATGTATCGCAAAATAATTATGTTTCCAATTGTTTTTCTTATAGAAGGCCTGCATCACTCAGGTCAGTTTTAGTAAAGGAGGCCCTCACACAAGTCCTCACTTGCATGCATCTCCTTTTGCAACGACAACACTTCTGTTTTGGCTCGGCTCTTACCTGACCAATTTGAAGTTGCCTTTGGTGCCAGTGATGTCTGTAGGAAACTCATCTGGAGTGCTGCTACCACACGACCTATAGCACTCTGGCCTTGGACAGCTGGGGTCATCTAGTTTGTAGATCTGCAATAGTCAAAAACAAAATGAGATAAAAATTAAGCTTTTTTTCTTTCTTTTTTTTTTTAAAGCATAAAGTCCTCGCTCTTGCTGGTCAATTACTTACCTTAGCATTAGCATATCCTAATTTAATAGTGATGTTCCTCTCCAACTCATTTTTAAATCTGACAGTATGCACACCAGATATAGCCTTTACGACTGTGGACTTTCCATGGGCTACATGACCAATGGTACCTGAAAAGAAAACAAAAGGATTGTAAAGATGGGCAGCTTTGAAAGTGAAGCTTATGGATCAATAACTAATACATATAAAAATATGTTTATACCAATATTAATGGTTGCCTGTCTGCTGATGATCTCTGGAGACAATGGTGTAAGGATCGACACGTCCTGGAGAAAAACAAATATTTAAGATCCATTTAAACCAAAACGCAATTTTACCTTGCTGTTGTAAAGCTGTTTTAACAGTGAACTCAGGTTTGTGAACTACCTAAGTTCACGTACAATATATGTAATTTAAATTAAGATGCCTAGCTACTTCTTTCTCTTTTGTTGTTGTTGTGTCATCATTGTTACCCAGAATCTGTTTTCGATGTTGCCTTTATTGTGGGGCATAGAGAACCTAATTTGTACACTAGGTGTAATTAAGGAAGCCTGCTACTGATATGGATCCGACTTAATTATGAGAAAGGATAAAAGCGTGTGTAGTTTAGAAACGGCTCTGAACTGGATACCATGTTCTGTCCTTTCATCAATAGTAAGGAACCCTTATGACAATCTTGCAGATTTTACATTTCCCCTGATACTATTGCTATCTAGAAGCAGAATGCGATAACGGATGTAGCGGGAAAAACGATTATACCATAATATATTTATCGGCTAACAATTGTTGACATTTGGTTTTTTATCTAATAAAAAAACAAGGGCAGGAAGGGTAAGTCCCGCTAGCCGCCTCGCCGAATCGGGCCTGTCGTCATGTGCCGGGTAGTGGCGGAGCAATGCTATACACCGACGCCGCTAAATCGGTCGTGTTTTTGGGAAGCATTTTAACTAAAACACGAGGGGACAGTCACTGACACGGAGGTACGACAATGTAAAATGAGTGAAAATAAGCATTACCAGAGAGTTGAGATCCTGTTTGGAAAGATGAGGCTGACCAAACGTTGTACCAGACTCGTCGCCCGCCATCTTGAATGAAAAGGGAATGGAGAAGGTATTTCCAGCGAATGCCTGATTAACACGCACAGGTTACACATGTCACCCGTTCCCCCTCATACACTGTTGACTAAATACCGTTAACCATTCAAATTCACAAAAAATAAATGAAGTGTGCCTCTTAAGTATAAAACAACACAGTGAACCTATATTTTTGGTTTGCATTTGCAAACAGGCAGAGCCTGGTCCTTTCACAACGGCTGATGCAACTTATTTCTTTAGTTTACTTTCCACCGTTTTTTTGAAACAATTTGCCAGGCTTCATATTTTACTAACAGGACAAAATATAATAAATAGACACGCCTTTTTAATTTACGTTCTATTGTTTTAGAAATTAAAAAAATGTATAAAATTCTTGTTATTCAGGTCTGTCCTTCTTAGTTTACGTCATTAAAAAGCGCATTTGTAGTCCCGCAAATTATTCTAGAAATTAGTTTTTTTTAATGAACAGTACAACAGTGTGTTGGACAGTGCGAATTAATAAGTTCAAATGATTTCACCTTTACATATTATCAGGGCTTCTGCAGGTTCAGAAAATATGTTCAGAAAATAGTTTAAGTTTTAAGTTTAAGTTTATGTTGCACATAAACAATTTTGCAGCCAAGCTATTACGTGAATTTCTTGTTTGGTCAAGACCCAATGCTGTGCATACTATCTGTAGTAAATCGTAATATAATTGCATTAAATACAATTAAGACATTAATGGGTGTATTAATAAATACTTTAATTAATACAACTACTACAAGTAGTTTTGCTACTTAAAATAATTAATTTAATTCACTGATTCGTTTATTAATATAATATAGTATAAATAATATAATAGAAAAATATTTTCTATTCGCACACAAATTGCAATTATGTTCCAGACAAGTGGATGTTCTATATGTCCAGTGTGTTTGTTAGGGCCCCCAGGCACTACTTACAAAACTACCTGCACAATTCCCACTGTATATATTTTAGCTGTTTCCAGTAACATTTAATACTTTTTCTTCGTAACTTCTAAAGACCCACTGGGAATCGTTCTGCGACCTTAACTGGGTCGGCGTAATCGATGAGCCCGATCGTGTAAGAAATTCTCGGGTGACACATCTGTTGACGAGGAGGTCTTTGGGACACCGCACTACGCCCTTTAGCTCCGCCCAAAGGGGAAATGACGAAAGCGCAGAAAATGGCGTCCGAGGATCCAGTGCCCTGCTGTTGCTACCTCCTAGCGGTTTGATTCAGAGCCCAGTGCGGGGCAGACTCTGCGTCTGGCAAGTGGACGAGAGTGAAATGGCAGTGTGTCGCTGCCGCCCGCTTTTTTAATTCCGGAATCGAATTTGCAACTTCATGTCTGAAGGAGCCAGAGCTGCCTGGTCCAAGAGGGGTTGTGGGGATTTGCACCGCCGAGGTGAGACGATACAACGGCGAGGCTAACACTCTCCGGGAGTATCAGCACCAGTGTCGGTGATGCTCTAGTGACCAGTCAGTCAGTTTTGACACTTCATTAGCTCAGCTGTTATTATTTATTCCCCCATCGATGTAGACCTGTAGATCAGCTCAAAGTTTAATTGACATTTTCGAGCGGAGGTATGTGATCATATGTGTAGCATTAGCCTTTGTTTTGGGACATAAATCTTAGCCTGCTAGCTGCCCGTTGTCAATCACTTGTGCTCTGTTAATACAAACACCAACAGATGAAACAGATATAACAAGATTTTTCGAGTTTTTTCTTTTCACGTACCGGTTAGTGTATCATTTAGCTTAAGTGCTTTCAAATCAGTGCTTCTCATGCCCCACTGCTTTGTCCTGAGCATCACCTGCCACACGTTTACACCTAATGCTACTACCGTTATTTCTGTTATTATATATAACACTACTGCCAATAAAATTACCACTCACACTTTTATTACCACTGTATCAGCTGTTTTCTATAATAAAACTGCTAATTAAACTACTTCTACTACTACTACAACTACTACTATTTATATTATGACTGCTATTATCCTTACAATCCTTCTACTAATGTATCTGCTACTGCTACTTACATTATAGCTAGTATTTATACGACTCCAAATGAATCATCTACTGTTTCTGCTATTACCGTCATTTCAGCTAATATCTATACTAGAACCGCAAATAAAATCACTACTCCTACAAATTTTAATGCTATTTAAACTATTGTACTTACTTACTGACTTCCACTGGTATTGCTTTTACCGATACTTCAGCTACTGCTACTCATAATTTCTATTACTGTTGCTACTACTAATTTCAGTTTTTACAATTAACAAAATTATAGCAATTTAATTATATCTATGTAGCTGTTACAGCTTAAATTTCTACCATATTACAGTACTACTACAAAATAATATTTTATTCTATTAATAGAACAGTAGTATTGCCACTACCACTAGTGGCAGTGGCCTTTGTTCGAGGCTTGAGGGCAATGCTGTCCTGCAACATTACACATGTCAGTTCCATCAATTCTCTTAAGAGGAAAACAAGCTTTTTCTTGGAAAATAGCCAAACATTTATGTTGCTATTACATATTGTATTGTATTGTATAATATTGCATATATACAGCACTACCTCCATACATGTTTAGGCCCTCTAATGACAAATTTAAACTTGGTCTAAAGGAAATGAATGAAGAAAATCGGCATACGAGTGTAACCTTGTGAAGGCACAGGTGGTTTCTAATTTAAACAGAATAGATAACAACAGTTACAGTCAGTGTCTACAATTTCCTGGAATTATTAAAAAGGAAAACAATATATTTAAGCTAAATAGGTAGATTCTCTCCCATTATTAAGACAAATGTCTCCTTTTTTCTTCTCTTTCAGAACCAGGGAAACACAAACACAGGAAATGTGAGCGGCCTCTTAACGCTCAGCTGTCAAAGCCTGTGATTGTTCACCCAGGCTCCAAAAGGTACAATTTAATTTCTGCTGTGAAAGGTTGAATATTAAACCTGAACCATCACCTTTGCCTTGTTACCCTTCCTTCCTTATTGTGCCTTATTTCAGTCCATTGTATTATGGGATGTTGATGGTAATAGTGGACAATGGTGTTAAATGTTACCTTGTGTGGGCGCAGTAGGATTACAAACAGGCTCTCATCAAAATGTCCTCACATTTTCAAAATGCTCCTTGTTGGTGTAATCTACTGATTTAACTGTTGTGTTTGTTGAATTAGAATTCAAAGTTTGTTTTCTTTATTTAGAGCAACACTTGTTTTTTAACACGGTGGTTGTGTTGACTTTGTTGTCCAGGTGATTGACGCTCAGAAAAGGGACTTTTTAAGCTTCTGCTGGACACAAGGGGCACTGTCCTCTGATTGGCTCGGACAACCCCCTCTGACATGCCCGTGGCCAATCAGAGGTGAGTGCGCTGTGTGATGTGTGCTTCTGATTTTGCTCTTGTTTCCGTTTAAAATTGAAATAAACATAAGAATATCTCACTGCTTTATTCCACTGGTATGCAGCATTTTCTCCAATTGTAGCATTTGTAAACCACTCACTTTCCACGACCGAAGTCCAAAAAGGAGCAGCAGCTAAAGCTTCTCTATTTAAACTTCTCAGACACACTCCTCACCTGTCAGTCCACTGTCTCCTTTCTCCTGCTGTCAGGTGTGTTATGTCGGGGGCGGATGTGGAGGTGTACCTGTCCCAGGTGCATGATGGGAGTGTTTCGTCAGGCTTTAGGGCACTGTATGAGGAGCGTCTTCTGCTGGATGTTACGCTGTTGATTGAGGAGCACCACTTCCAGGTACAGGAAGAGAAAACCAGACGATTGTCCTTGTCTATTGGTAAAATGTTTGGTACAAAATATTTGATGTTTTTCTGTTGTTTCTATGTTGCATGTTTCATGTTCTTCAGGCCCACAAAGCTCTTTTGGCCACTCAGAGCGACTACTTCCGGGTCATGTTTACAGCAGACATGAGGGAGAGGGACCAGGACAAGATCCACATGAAGGGACTGACGGCCGCTGGCTTTGGTCACATCCTCCGCTTTATGTACTACGGTTCTCTGGAAGTCAGCATGCTCACGGTCCAGGAGATCCTGCAGGTAATTCACATTCGTCCAATTTTAGTCTGAGATAAGGAGATCCAGTTTTTAGTTTCATAACATAGGAGTACATTTCATGGGTTGAGGTTAAAAGTGCTTTCCAGGCAAATGAAGCACAGGGGTATGATAGAAATGGTTCATCTTCAATCTGGGGATGCTGGGCCAAACTCTAACGTTACTAGTTTAAAATCTTGAAGTCTCTTTGTTGTCTTGGAGAATACGTGATCTTCAACCATTCCCAATCCTTGCACATTTTCTTTTCCCAACTCATTTTATTTGGTGTCTGCAGGCGGCCATGTATGTCCAGCTGACAGAGGCGGTGGAGTTCTGCTGTTCCTTCCTCCTGGCCAAAATCTGTCTAGAGAACTGTGCAGAGGTAATGCGCCTCCTGGAGGACTTCAGCGTGGGTGTGGAGGGGGTCCAGGAGCAGCTGGACAACTTCTTGCTTGACAACTTTGTCCCACTCATGAGCAGACCTGACTTCCTGTCCTACCTCAGCCTGGAGAGACTACAGGTACTTCAGCCAGTCATTTAAACTTATTTTAAATACTACAACTCTCCGGTGGAGAGGACCATGACAAGACGTGTAAAAGTATTAGATACATATTCTCTGGCCATAGACACGGAAGGTAATTGGGAAATTGTTTGGAAGGGTCTCCTACCGTCTTCATAACTGACCCAATTTGTATTTCTTTTGATTGGACCAGGCCAACTTGAACAGTGACGCTTTGAGTCGATATTCAGAAATTGAGCTGTATGAAGCAGTCCAAGCGTGGCTGCGACACGATCGCAGGCGCTGGAGGCACACAGACACCATCGTCCAGTCCATACGCTTCTGTCTCATGACACCAGCCAACATCTTTGAGAAGGTCAGTGTAAAACCTGAGACTGAGGAAGGCTTTAATACTGCTGTGTGATACGTTCATCTGATAACCTTCTGTCCTCAGGTAAAGACTTCGGAATTTTACCGCTATTCCCGACAGCTGAGGCAGGAGGTGGACCAGGCGCTCAGCTACTTCCACGATGTCAACCGGCAACCTCTGGTGGAATCACACTCCAACCGCATCCGCTCCGTACGGCCTCAGACCGCAGTCTTTAGGGGAATGATCGGCCACAGCATGGTCAACAGCAAGATCCTGCTGCTGCAGCGACCAAAGGTCAGCGTCTGACTTGTCTATACTGTGTCCTTCTGTTATAGGTTACCGCTCACAGAAAACACATTGTTTAAAGAAGTGCAGTCTGGTGTTGAGCTGGTTTTGAACTCTTCTCGTTCTTTTGTCCTGGTGTCTGTCTTGGCTTCACTAACTTTATTTCTGTCTCTCAGGTATGGTGGGAGCTTGAAGGGCCTCAGGTGCCGCTACGACCCGACTGCCTGGCAATTGTCAACAACTTTGCCTTTCTTTTGGGCGGAGAAGAACTCGGGCCCGACGGTGAATTCCACGCCTCCTCCAAAGTTTACCGCTACGACCCTAGACAGAACTCATGGCTACGCATGGCTGACATGTCTGTTCCCAGGTCAGAGGAAGCTAGACTATGTTTATTTTTCTGCTTACTAAACTTTGATTGATGCAGATCTTTATCGTTCGCTGACTGTTGTTGTTATTGTTACAGGTCAGAATTTGCTGTCGGTGTGATTGGTAAGTTTATTTACGCTGTAGCAGGGCGCACGCGGGACGAGACCTTCTACTCTACGGAACGCTACGACATCACTGAGGACCGCTGGGAATTTGTGGATCCATACCCAGTCAACAAGTATGGACACGAGGGAACGGTTCTGAGTGGAAAACTCTACATCACTGGTGGCATCACTTCGTCCTCCACCTCCAAACAAGTATGCGTGTTTGATCCTGGGCGGGAAGCAGGAGGTGGGGGTGGAGGAAGTGGTGGAGGGAGTTCTGGAGGCCCAGACGCACACCGGACACGCGCTGGACGCGGACCGCTGTTGCCTGGGACACACGCTAGCTGCTGGGAGAACAAATCCAAAATGAACTACGCGCGCTGCTTCCATAAGATGATCTCCCACAATGGGAAGCTGTACGTTTTCGGTGGCGTGTGCGTGATCCTGCGCGCCTCCTTTGAGTCACAGGGATGCCCGTCCACAGAGGTGTACGATCCAGAGACCGACGAGTGGACCATCCTCGCCTCCATGCCCATTGGCCGCAGTGGCCACGGGGTGGCAGTGTTGGACAGGCAGATCATGGTGCTGGGCGGCCTATGCTACAACGGCCACTACAGTGACTCCATTCTCACCTTTGACCCCGAGGAGAACAAATGGAAGGAGGATGAGTATCCCAGGATGCCTTGCAAACTGGATGGCCTGCAGGTATGCAGCCTACATTTCCCAGAGTACGTTCTGGAGCACGTGAGACGCTGCAGCTGAGGTCTGTTTTCACAAAGCCACGCATCCTTTTTTATATAAGAGAAAACAAAAGCGCACTGTTTACAGAGTGAGGCCTCCTGCTGGGAGGTGTGAGTCATTACAGGTCCTAGACTTTTGATCAGAGGTCAGCACTTAATCTGCTCTGAGCAGAGCTGCTTTTTTACTCAAGACAGTGAAAACACGTAGGACTAAAAAAAAATTCACAAATGGCTTTCTCACTAAAAAAAACCTGGTCAAAATAAAAACAGCCTAGAGAAAAGCTTTCTCATTGCTGGTTTTATGTTGGTACTGTGGTCGAGTTTCCTCTCCGGCTGCACCACCTACTGTCCAGTCAGAATCACTGCAGAAACGCACTGGAAGCGTTGCATCCATTTGTACATTCACGGGAAAACGTGAAAACACAAAATTCATTTTGTAAGTTTGAATTTCACAGCAGCTCCTGGGGTTGGGCAGTTGGACAATATGTTTTTTGATGTATTTCCCAAACTTTAAAACTTTTTAAATATGCGCTCACTTCAAGTAATCCTTAAATTGAATACATTTTTATCACCTGTGACCGACTGGCTTATTTGACGATCTATCATATCATATCATTCAACCCCAGCAGCTGTTCATCTATAACCTATAACTAAACTCTCCTCTATAACATTTTTTTTCTCGGGAACTAGCTTAGTAAAAGCCGAGCCTTCGGCTATTGTCAACCAATAATAGACAACAACAAGTTCTAAGTATACACTGAGGTATATAAACAAAACTATAAACACTATATACTGTAGTGTAGTTCACTTTAGAGACCGTCTCCGAATATAGCCTATGTACAGAACAGTGTAGAGATATTGAGCAAATGCTGCTGAGGCTTCAGTCTGGTGAGAAGGTGATAAATTCAGGTTTCGCTTCCAGTGCGTTCCAGCTTTTCTTTCAGCCCAAACTCTACTCTGTACTTCCTGATTTCAGCAAAACACCGGCCCATCTTCACGTGTTATCCGTTTCTCCCCCTCTGTTGGTCTAATAAAGTCTCATTCTATGTAACAATCCCTCCTGATCCCAACCCAGTAGAAAACTACTTACTATTCTTGGACCAAAGTCTGTTAGGAAAATCACTCTAGACTCTTTCCGTCAAGGCACAGAGGAGCTGTTGATGTGTCCACTGCTGTCTTCATCAGTATGTGTGTTTTTTCACACAAACTATTTTGCACTACCTGTGCTTCACCTGCACAAACCTGACAACTCTGAAGCAGCAGTAGAACAGCAGCTCCTCTGTGGCCACAGGCTTAAACCCTTGATGTTTCTCAGTGTACTCTGGTGACAGTTATCAAGTGGTTTTACAAACAAAAAAAATCGATCAATTCCAAATTTTGATATAGGCGTAGATTAAAAAAAAACAAGGCAAAATGAAGTTTAACAAAATACTACTAAGTATTAAATATCAGTTTCATAAGTGTTTCCAGGTGTGAGAGGCTTATCTGTTATACATTATCATAAACACGTCAACCTGCCATGGACCAAATGTGTTGTTTTGAATTTCTTCAATAACCACCAGAGGTCAGTATAACATGTTCATTAAAAAGGGGAAAAAAGACACCAGCAAGGGTTTCCAGACTGTTTTAGGTAATTTACATATTGGTTGAAGATGAGGTGACTGTAAAATGAAGGCCAAGTCACAGGAACTGTTGTAGGAACCTTCAAACAAATATGAAAAGAACAAATGAATGCCCAGTAATGTGAACTGAGTCTGTGTCTGAGACTTAGACCAAAGTCTTGTCAGGGTTTGTTTCCAAAACAGGAGGAACTACAGCTATCTGTTTTATTTAGGCTCTGCAGAAATGTGTACTTATTTTGTCCCTACAAGAGTTTCTGTGGTGTTGTAGGCTTTGCATTTTGACATTACACATTGAGTTCTGTTTGAGTTGACACAATTCGTTTCAGACCTTTCCAGCGATGCCAAGTTTATGTTCTCAGAGCAAAAAACAAACAAACTTTTCTGACCTTCTGTCCTCATTTTTATGAAATTCTTTGTTGTGAAAAGGGCTAAAGCTAACACTGATGCAGTCGTGTCCGTCAGCAGCTGCTCATTTAACTTATTTATTTGTTTTTATTTATTATTGACCTCTTTTTCATGTTCTGTGAAGGAATAATTCAAAACTCCAACGTCTGCAGCTGCTTCAAATTTATTCTTAATCTAATTATCTTTATTTCCGAGAAGCAGAATTGTCAGCAGGGGGCGTCATTCTTTGGTAGTACAATATACCATAATGGTTAAAAACGAATTTAAAGAAAAAAAGAATGAGCTGTATAAGGAATGTGCACATTGTCTTCCATTTTAGAAGCGGGGAAATTCCCAGTGTAAGCAAATCAGTGAATAAAATCTAGACGTTGCTCAAACATGATTGCTGACAGTTCTGTTTTGTTTTTGCTTTTGTTCTGTTTTAAAATTTCTCTTAAGTATTAACTGGTTGGTTTTCAGCAAAAAACCGGGATATTTATTATTAATTTTCAAACAGTTTCTTTTTAAAATAATAAATTAGATATCCATACCTTTGATGAGTCAAATCATCTCGCACGGTCAGAAGAAGATTCTTAACCTGTGGTGTAGCTTCACTCTCCTGTCACTGCTTCTCCTCGACATCGGATTTGTCCTCTCTCTTCACGTTTCTCCGCTCCTCTTCCTCCTGTTCTTCGTGTTTAAAGTTGAATCAGCTCCAGCAGCAGCATCTTCAGTCTTCAGTCTGTCTGTAGGATAAAGAAAAGTGAGGATTTTTAGAAAACTCCAACTTACACCTTTGCTCCAGCGTCTGTATCCGAAAAACACTATAACCTGCGTAGAAACTCTTTGAAAATGATTTGTAACTTTCCACAAATAAACCTTCATAATGTTCAACTTTCAGCTGAACTTGTGACTTTATTATTATTACTTCGTAGTGCTAGTTTTGGTCTCGAACCCGCAAAGACCTCAGTTTCAGTCCTATGCTAACAGTAGTTATCTGTTGTGTCACTCCGTATCGTTTTGGTCTTATTTTGGCATAAACATGTTTTTCGAACTCTAAATGTCTTTATCTTGGTCTAAGTCCTTTAATACTGGGTTGTATTTTATTCCCCAGTCGAGTTTTAATTTAAAGCCTCAGTCTTATCTTGGGCTCAGTCTCCAAACGCCTCGGTAACATCCTGTTGTTTTTGTCATTCATCTGCGTCTGGACCCTCGTCCTAAAAAGTTTTCCCGCTTATTTGCTCCACAAGTCTTTGACCCGCCTTTCTCTTCAGTTCCTCGTTAGTATAGTGGTGAGTATCCCCGCCTGTCACGCGGGAGACCGGGGTTCAATTCCCCGACGGGGAGGCTATTTTTGTTCATATTATTGAGAAAAATAAAATAAAGAATTTTCCAGGTTTGCCATAAATAAAGTTATTACCATTATTATTATTATTCTATAAGAAATAACGGTTGTTGTTATGCCGTTAAATGTCAATGTGTGACCGGTGATTGACTCCTGACGAGACGACGAAGAACAAAAAAAAAAAAAAAATCACAGCACTTCGATACACTTCCGGACTCGACATCAGCTCCTCATTTAGATCCAGAATCTTAAAGTTAAATGTTTAATGGTTTAATACCATTAAAAGTACATTGAAAACTGTATTAAATTACACACACTTTAATAATTCAGTGAAAAGTAGAGTGGTTCAGCCGTGATACCCGTAAGATGGAAAACATTTTAAATAATTTTGCTAATAAATAAATCACATTTTACCTGTCGGAATAGCGTTTAAATGTATACAATATTAAAATAAATTATTGCTTTAGTAGCTTTGGTGTTAAAAACGTCAATTATTGATCAGAGTTTTAAGTAAAACTGCTTAAAAAAACCTGATGATGCAATACAATTTAAAATTGTTACACATTGTTTTCCAATAGTTAGTTATTGTGACATTTCTCCAGGAAGACGTCTACTATTAGAACTTTAGTTTGGAAGAGTCGGTATATTTGTTTGCCTCTTACATATAACTTTTCTACAGCTTTAATTAAGTCATTTAGTATCATGGAAATTCCAAGTGCCTTGGAGTCGTGGACTGAAACAACATCACACAGGTTGTAAAAATGTTTTATTAACAAACATGTTTGTTTTATTAACAAACAAAAATGTCTGTACAAACATACATTAAAAACTTTCACATTTTATTAACACATATGTAAATGGTGACCAGTTATTCCTATAACTTTAAAAAGAAAGAAAGATGCAAAACACAAAATGAGAAAATGAAAATGATTATTTAAGTTGTTCTATTCAGATGGAGTGACATTACATTGTTTTACTGTTGATCAGATACCTATACCCTCTAAAGTTTGCAAGCCTATGACAATTTCCAGGACTGACCCTTGTGAGTGACATATTTCTATTTTATCTGTAGAAATAACATAAATGAATTTGAAAACAGAGAATGAAAGAAAATGTTAGTAGAGGATATAAATACAGTATGTGCCTTACACCGTGTGCCTTCATCTGGAGTTCAGGCTGAAAAAAATGGTTTCATGTTTAATGGCTCTGCAGGAGTCTGAGATGACTGCTGTACAACAAAAGACAGGTAATGAAAAAGGAAAAAAAACACGAAGTGTTTGTACATTCTCTCTCCTTTATGATGGATGTTTTCACAAAGTCTGATGAGTGAGTGATCAGGTTCATGGCGGGGTCTACAGCTTCACCTCGTTCTTGAAGTACCATGTTTGTCCAGTGCAGGTTCTCAGGATCAGTCTGTGGCCAAAGTCGATTTTACCCTCCATCACCTCCAGACATCGTCCTGAGGCTTTATTTACAATGGCCGCATTCTGGAGAAACAAAAATTAGTCACACATTAGGAAAAAAACAAAAACAAAGTCAGGTCTTGTGTGAACGGCAGACATAATAAGACAAATGTCAGAACATTTTTTTTGGGTAAGAACAGTTAAAGACAAATGTCAGAACATTTTTTTTGGGGTAAGAACAGAAAAATCAAATTCTCCTATCAACAAAGATGATTAAAAAATGTGTTTATTTGTTCATCATTTTAATCTTACTAAACTCTTTATTTCCTAGAGGTCTTGACGTGTCATCAAAGTCTCGGTCTCAGCACAAACAGTTTTGCCTCATCCTAGTCCCTCAAAGTATTATATTCTGACCTCAGTACACTCTGCACTTCATATAGGTTACGGTCCAGTTCCTAAAAGTCCAAACTTTTGACTTTCTTCTTGGTCCTAATTTGTCAAAGTTTGCTCTCGTCTGACCGTCTGCTCTTTACCTGAGAAAACTTCCATGACATTTGCTGCTCATTCTTGGCTTTGTTGCAGTCGATGAGCTGAGGGAAGTCGCTGACCTCATTGTCCACCAGGCAGCGTGTGTCCTCCCCGATGCTGCCCATTGAGCCCACGTACAGCCTCCCATTTTTATTATAACGTCCCATCTGGAAGTGCAGAGGAAAAATTACAGACGTGAACTCATTTTCGTCGCAGATCCTTCCAGGACAGAAGAATGCAGTGTAGGTGTGTGTGTCTTCATGTTTTACCTGAGGACTCCATCCATGACAGGGATGTAGAATGGGTTTTTGATTGGCCTTCTCACCTTGATCCAGACACAGATGTTGGACCAGAGTATTTCGAACCTGGAAAATCAAAAACAACAAAACAATATTTTTGAAATCTCCCAACTTCATTTGTTGGTCACACCCTCCTGGGCCAACATTTTTACAATGAACTCACCTCGCCATAGTACAATGTGCCATTGTACTTAATCAAATCCGGGTAAATATTGTTTAGATACCACTCGAAGCTCTTGCACTGCAGACGGTTCCTCAGGGCAACTCTCTCAGAGACGTCTCCGATGTCTATACCACTGTTCTGTAAGAGCACAGGACGTTTTCACGGGATTTTTTCAACATCTGTTACTTATGATTGAAACCAAGGGTGGCGCTATTGCATTACCTCCATAGGAAGATTCCAGGCCATGTAGACGGTGGCCTTGTACTCATCCATCCAGACCTCAGCTACACGCAGAGCATTGCGTCGTGTGTGAATGCCAAGGTCTTTGTCGGCGTAGGGTTTTTTTACTCGTGCAATGTGAGCGACCCTGGAGCAAGGCATTACCTCCATACTGCCTCCACACATCCACACCTGGAAGAGATGAAACACAGTTGTCTTATCTCCCCTTGTTACCCTTGTTCCGGTTTGTCTCCAGTCCCAACCAACGTGACACTGATGCTAACATTCTCTAAAACCATGGCTGCCAGTGAGGTCGCAAAGCAAAATACATTTCCAGATGAAACAAGGAGGACAAGATTTGGGAGTGACTCACGAACCTTGATGCCCAGTTCAATGTTCTCTCCACCGTAGACATTCATGCCTGAATCAAGCAGACCAATCTCACCAAAGAACAGGCGGTTAACCACAAAGGAGCAGCCAATCATGGCAGGAGTCCTGCAGTACATTAGACCACAAGAAGTCATTCATCTTTTATGTACTCTCCTATGTAAATATAACTGCCTTCACCATACAATAGGTGTGGTCCTTTTACCTGATGGGAAGAGTTTCATCTTTAGCATCGTACCACGCCTGGGGCGGGTTCATGTACATGCACCAAAGCTCCCAGTTGTAGCCGTGGGCCGAGTTTCCGTAATATTCTGCCTCAAACGTATCGTGCATGATGTTATCGATGGAGGGCAGGAGGATTCTCTTGTGGTTTTCCTGTATCCTGGCCAGAATGGGCTCTGACCTATCAAAATAAAATCATTGATATGAAAAGGTCAGGGAATATACTGTCTGCAGAATCTGTTAGTCATTTAAGTTTTTAAATTCTACACTGAACTCACCAGTAGGGTGTGAACTCCATATGTGCATCAAAAAATCCAGTCACATCTCCAGTGGCTGCTTTCCATCCTTCGATCCTGGCTCGGATCAGTCCCTCTCTCCTCTGGTTTCTGACAATCTTGACTTTACCGGGGAAGCGTTTGTTCACGTAAGTCTCCAGTGGTTCTTTCAGCTGCTCTGTTTGAAAAAAAAAAAAAGAATGACTGGAGAAAACAACACTTACGTTTGAGAGCGATACTTTAACAACTCAACAAAGGTGTTTGTGTTTTGTTCCTGATGTCTGACCATCATCACTGCTGTCGTCCACTAAGACGATTTCCTTGAGCAGCTGAGGTGGCGTGTGATTGATGGCCGTGTGGACTGAGCGCAGGAGCACTGACAGGCGCTCGTTGTAGAAGATGAAGATGATGGAGATCTGGGGCAGATCCTTAGGGTAGGTCATGTTTTTACATCTGCAAATAAATACCGTTGTAGTTACTGTCCTGTTTTTGCTCCTCCTCGTTCCACAACTACGCTCTGGAATATAATCTAACAATGTTTGAATTGACAATTGAATATTTCTTCAGCTCTCCTGAACTCACTTGGTTGGCCTGAAGTCTGGTATGGTTCTGTCCAGAGAGATTTTGTCACTCAGATAAGCATTGTAGCCGTAGTTTTCCTTAACTATTTTGGCGATGCTGTCCTCCTCAGGAGACAGATGGACAGGGCCTCCGGTTAGGCCAGGTCCGTTCTTGCCCTCAACCAGGCCCAGTGGTGCAGAAAGACCTGTGACAAGGAAAAAAGGACAGTTAGTGGGTTAATGCTGTGTTTCCCAACCTTTTTTGAGCCACAGACACATATATATCATCAGGAAAAATCCCACAGCACACCACCAAACAAAAATCTCACAAAAAGTATATGTAATGAAATCATCTTCAAATTTTTTGGCAGGAATTGGAGAAAGACACTCACAAAGATCTTCTTCAACAGCTGTGATCATCTTTTTTTTTTTAGTTTTCATAATCATCTGCTATGATCAGAGTCTCAACTTTGATAAACACCTCGTATCAAAGACATGGTCGTTTAAGGGTGTTGTCACCAGAGTCATGTCATAAATTTTATTTATATTTTCATTGTTCAGAAGTGACAATGAGAAATGACAGAACTGTATTGACAGTAACTATTGTGCATTCTCACAAGGTTTGCTGTCCCTCCAGACTGGCAGCTCAGGTTTGTCAGAGTGAGTTGACATGAAGGTGATGACACGTCGTCAGATGACTACGCCTCATTTTAACACAAGTCATTTGTAATCCACTGAACACAAACGAAGATTAAATGGGTTAATAACACAAACACATCAAGATTAATTCGTAATTCCAAGTCAAAGCAAACAGCAGCCAACAGTTATCCCTTTCTGATCCTCAGCGGGGATAAGAAGGAATACATCTTAAACCAAACTCTATCAGCAATGAAAAGAGCGGATTGTTGTACAGCTTTGTCACTGTGGTTAGCCTGTTCTACAGGAAACTGTGTGACTCTGCAGCACAACTGACTCCATGCTCCAACATCTTTACCCATCTTTACCACAGAACAGAGCACGTCAGCACTAAACCTGTCCAATAAACTTCCTTCGTGTCCTTGACCGACTGATGTCAATGGTCTCTGTGAACTTTGTCCTGAAAGTGATAATGGGTTCTGGTAAACTCAGGCACTACCATAAAGTCAGAGGAAATCACACGAAGAGAACAATAAAACCTAGGGTCACGTCTTGGTTAATCTTTTCTGGGTCAGACTGATTGATTTACGTCTCTTGTTGTAGATTAGTATTCAAGTATTAGTATTAGTATAGACTAGTATTCAATTCATTTTTAACTTATTTTGTAGCAACATTTCTCACTGGTTTCTTGTAAATGGTTAACGCCAAGTTTATAATTTCATTACCTACAATTACAACCGTGGGGAGTCTTAACAAACTCACTGAAGCCTTTTGGTTTTCATTTTATAAAATAGAAACTAATCCTACAAGCAAAACAAACTCTAATAGAAAGTTTTACAAGAAAATGGGTTTACCTCAACAGTTTAAGATTTACTTTTTTTTTTTTGTTCTGGAAAAGTTTGATGCCAAGACGTGATATTTTTAAAGATTTATTGTAAATTAAAGAAAACTCAAACATGTATTTACATGGGTTTCTTTTTTTTTTTGTAAGTCTTTGGTTTTGAAGATTTGAAGTAATACAATTAAATGAGAGCATTTTTTGAACATTTTAAAAGAGCTTGTTTTTATGGTGTTTTATAACAAACTTACCATGTAACTGGTGGTACACCACATCCTCCAGTTCCCTGATCCTGTTCATCAGACCCTCCTGTATCATCCTGGGTTCCTGCACCACAAACATGTTCTCCCACTCTCTTTTCTCACTAGTCTCAAAATCCATATCTGAACCATTGGGAATGCGTGTGTTGCACTTAGTCCAAAAGGTTAGGAACCCAATAAAGGCTACAAAGTTCAACACCAGTAAGACCCTCCATCTCCGGGGTAGGTAAGCCATTGAGAAGCTGCCTTCAGGCTTCTGTCTCCTGACAGAAAGTGAAGTTACACCTGCTCTTGTCTGGTGCGCTTCTGCTTTGCCCTTATCATCCCATTAGTTGTTTGTCCTGTCTAAGCGCTGTGTGTGCGTTACTGTGACACAGACGCATACCACCCCTCTAACACACCTCCTGTACTAAAGGTGGCAGGAAAAAAAAACTAGAAATAATCACTTTGTCTCAGAGTTTCATTTGTGTCGTCTGATTCTGAAATAGATAAAAAAAAGGACGGTGCAAATAACTGGGGTCCAGAACTGGATGACCTGTCAGTCTGACAAGTCTGCAAAAAAAAAAAGAAAAATATAGACCTTGAGCCCATCTACCACTTGGACTGCACCTCATAACACCATCATATGGTACCACAGTTATCTTGGCATCTCATCATATTTCTCTAGATCATCACATCAGTCATGTAAATATTTAAAATAATGCAAACAAATTATGTTAATTGTACTTTTCTATAACTATTTGTTGCACTAATGATAATTATAAAACAAAATAAAAAAATAAAACCACCTTACGGATAACCTATAGGCAGCATGAAGAACATACCTGTGTTGGAACCCTGACACAGATTAGCTCTGCACCGATGGTTAGAAAATAAGGGTAGCTGCCCGCAGGTGAAAACACACACACACAAACACATTTAATATATGTAAATATATTCAGTTAAGTTGTCATGTTCCACACACGCGTTATTTGCATAAACAAATAATTTAAATGTTTTGATTTTCATGTCTGTGAATAGAACAATGTGTTTTATTTTGCCGAGGACTAGTTCACATACAATGTGTATTTTTAAATTAGCTCCTTATTGACAACGGCTAGAGTTTCTGTATATGACGTACAGTCATAAATCTATACATGTTCATTTTACTGCTTTAATTTGGCTGAAGGACAAAGGAGCCTTTTAGTAACAAAAGAGGCAGCTCCTTATGGTATGGTAGTAAAACGTCATTCTTGAGACAAACATTGACTAAAGGTTGGTCTCTCTGGTTGGACTGGATGGGGATTACAGGGTAACAACATAATGATGAATAGAAATGGTGAAATATGACATCAAAAAGTCGGATCAACGATTATAGATTATGAGATTAACGAGTCATTAATATGAGTTAAACAGTATAACTGGTACAGTTTTTATTTTTTAAGATTTTTTTTGCGGTACGTGAAGCTCCTGGGACTTGTGTTATATTTGTTGTTGTAAGCATATTGACTCTAATCAATTGTCTAAATGTTGATTTACTGTGACCCGTATTACGACATCAAACCGCATCCTGTTCTGACACTCCTTTGATTGTTGGACTGGAGACTTTTTTAAAAGATGATTATAAAGGTCTACAATTTCACAGGAAGCCCAGCAGGTGGTCTTTCATGCCATGACATCAGCTGGTCTTTAACCTGGCAGGTCACATGGTATCTCCTGGTGCCGTCTTTATGTAATTTAATAATTCAGGGAACGTCGATGGAAAAGATGTTTGCCGTCGCAGAAAATGCTGTGTTTATTTAGTTTGGAAACATATGTCAAAGAAATGTTTTTTTTTTCATTCACTGCTGAAGTACTGTATATAAAAGATGCAGCAATATGTTTTCCCTGTAAATAAATAATAATGAAACAAATTATATAATTATATGAAGAGGAACCACTAATCTGAACACGACTGGTCAAATAAAGATGAACACTTTGTTCTTTCCATAAGTGAAGTTCAACAGAGGTGTGTCCTAGAGCCACAATACATTAATAGTAATATTTACCTACAGTTAAAGCCTTTGACAGGAACAGGAATTAGAGACAGGGAAATGCCACACACACGCAGCTACGCCCGTGTGGTGTAGGTAAACAGATGAACTGCAGCAGAGCAGCGATGACTTGATAAGGCTGGGCAGTAAAACGGTCAAGATCAATGTGGACTATTGTGAGTCTGATGACACTGCAGGGACTGTCTTTTATTTTATCAGGTTAAGGAACTCTACTGCAAGGACTTTGTTCAATGCTTTTTAAGGTCCCACATTTGGCCCCCAGGCCTTGAGTTTAACACTTGTTCTACAGCATTATATCACAGCATTATATTGACTGTCAACATTTGTATCTTTTGACTTCAAAAAATATATATTTAAAAATATATATACAATATACAGTATATATATATATATATATGTATGTAGATATATATAATTTTCAATGTCCATATAGAATTAGAATTAATTTGTTGTGATATGGACATTTAAAAAAAAGTCAACAGTCTGTCCAACAAAGATAATACGTTTAAGTATATGTATAGTACAGGTAGTATGTATATGTATAGTAGTATAAGTATAATAAGTATTATGACTCAAATTAAACCTGAAGGAGATTCAAACTTAACACACACTGTGGGTTAACTAAATCTCAAACAAAAAACATGACTGAGCGAAGCGTATACACGTATTAACGTGCGAACGAGAGTTCCAGGTCCGATTCCCGGAGGAACCACATGCTTGGCGCCTGTCACCGGATCTGCTGTTAACACAAGGATTCCCCTGATATGGGATCAATAAAGTTCAAAATATTAGGAATTATTCTTATTCAGTTCTAGGACTCTTCCTCAGTTAAATTGTTCGTATTGTTACAGAACATGGACAGAACACGATCATCCTCGTGTTCTGTTCATATGAACTCCGTCGCTGGGTAACAGTCATGGTTGACCTACTTAAATTAACTACACACACACAGAGAGAGACAATGAAAGGTTGTGCGTGCAGCTGTTTACCGTGACAAGTGCTCACACTGTACTTGGTCACTGGATCAGCAGGTTTTTTTTTTAATAGTATTGAATGAAGCTCTGGCCCTGATACAGATACTAATGTTTGTATCAGTGCAGCCCTAATTTATTTATCTAATTATCTATTTATCTTTAACCTGTACAGACGAACTGTATAAAGACTGGAAAAAATAAAGAACAATGTTGGCTAAAGAACACACATGAAGTGACAGCTCACTACACCACAGCTCCAGTACATCTGGAGAAGCCGACGATTTTATAATAGGAGTAGCTGAAAAAGTGACAGCTTAACTGCAGTTACTCAATTGTAAAACGAATCAGATTAAAGTTACAACACGTCACTATGTTTGAACAGCCTGTGTTCATATCGTTGCTTATTACGGAGATGTTGACGTTGACAGTCATCCTTCGCTGTATCGTCATGATGTACATATTTGTCTCGCTATTTGTCCACATTTACACTTACATCCTTTAGATTTGTGTGAAACAAATAAATTTAAAAAAGTGCGTGGAGGTGATTTGTAGTCTTTCAGCCATAATGACATGTCTTATCATTGGCCACTCACACCTATGTGTAGACTGGGCGTTATATTAAATTAAACAGGTTAATAATTAATAAATACATTAATCAATTAAATAACCAGTCATTATGTGAGCACATGGGTGTGGAGTGAAGCTGTACTTTACCTTGACAAACACACACACACACTCACTCACTCACTCACTCACTCCGATTTTCCACTCAGAAATGAAATGTTTGTGATCAAACTCATCCAACAAGATTCCAACATCAATTCTCTGGTATTTTAATTTCCATTTAGCGATGTGCGTGTTTCTCTAAGTACGTACCGTCTAATAAACTGTCATTAAAACGATATCTAAGATAATAATCATAAAAACTTTAAAAGAGGTTTCACTACATTGAAAAAATACCAAAATAAAATACCTGAATTAAACAAGTCACTCATTGACAATCACTTGAACATTTAACTGAACAAACCGGAGATGATAAAAGAGTTTCCTTGTAGTAAACGAAAATGACTGGTGCTTGTCTGTAATTAAACACATTCTTTCGACAGCTCACTCTTCCATTGCAGTATATGTTTATATTAATTCCAACACAAACTGATGACGTGATCCATTGATCACCTGTCCATCATTCTCTCCACGGGCTTTGGTTTTCAAAACAACTCATTTTACGGTGTTATCTTTTTTAAAAAATTGAACAATTTTAACATGTTCTGGTGATCTTGACTTGCCATGCTTTTGAGCAACAGTGGTATTTGATGACAACGTTTTAGTATGTGAAACCCGCAATGAACCCGTGTTTACGCAAACAAAGTAGACAGACTGGATGGATAAGTAATTTATTCTTAGCTTCACTTTTTAATTTCATAAAGGTGTGACGTCTCGCCGTTTAAGTAACGCCACCTGGTGGCTGACTGCATATTAATCCTGTTATAAATGTAGCCAATTAACATATTTCCCCTTTATTTTTTGGTGCGATTCTACGCTACACAGGTGCTGAAAGAAAAACATAAAGATAAGTAAGGAAAGAAGAAAAGAAAATAGAAGAAAAGAGTGAAATAAGCCAAATTAAAGGACGAAAAAGGGTCGAAAGTAGAGAAATACCGGGAAACTAGACTAGGAAGGAAAAAGAAGAAGGAAATGCACCGAGGAAGTGAAATAATCCAAATTGAAAGAAAAAAGTAGAAAAAAAGGTAGAGGTGATTATATTTTGAGTAAAAAAAGAAAAGTACTCTGGACAAACTCCAGTCCACGTGGTGGCGGTCATGCGTCTCTCTCCTCGTTTATTGACCTCAGTCATGATTACGCAGTGGGGACTGTGCACATTGTAGAAGAAGAAATGTCCTCTTATGTGAAACTGGTAAGATGCAGGTCCAAATCTATGGTCATTTTACTAACTCACGCCTCATTCTTTTTCTAATCTCAGGGTGTATTTTCCGTATGTTTCAGACTGACTTTGTTTCACAGAGTGACAAATAGAAATGTCCCAAAACGCTGTTTAAGCGAGCGGTAGTTAGCTGTTAGCTGCTAACTGGATGCCTGTATTGGTGTTTCTTATTGAAAGAGTCCTCTGTGCTGTGTTTTTTTAATGGTAATGTTGTTTATTGAAAATAACAAAAGAACACACAAGTATGGGTATACTTATTTATGTGTTGAAATAATTGTTTAATATATAACCATTTTAATAAGCTAAATAATTATTGACTGTTTGAATTTGGTTTTGATTTCTGTTTTTTACCTGGTTTAATCCAGTTTTATTCTCCAGATATTCCAAGCTGTATCTTTTGGAAACTATGTCAAGCTTTAATTCAAAGCTCGAATGTGAACTGATTTACAGATGTGTCATAGGTTACTTTTGCTTTACAGGGAAGAATATTATTTGCACAACTTCTTTCACTGTTATGCACTAGGTGTCGCTGTGCGCTGCAACTCCAGCAGTGACGTCGCTGCTGAGCAGACCTGTTCAGGCTGCTGCTGCTGCTGCTGCTGCGGAGGGGAAGACGAAAAGCACAGAGCCGCTGATCAGCATCCATGAGGTGAGGTCAAACTGGAGAAATGAACCTTATTTCAAACTTCCAATTGGCCATGTGAAAAGTAACAGACTTTTGTGTTTCTTTTCAAGTTGCCATCTTTGTACACCAGAGCTGATGCAGAGCCCCGCTCCCTGGAGCCTGAGGCTGGGCAGCTGGAGCAGAGCATCGCTGCACTGAGGGAATGGGCGGAGCCGTACACGAGCCAGTGTCAGGTAAGTCAATCACTGATTCTCTAACTTATCATTTACTGGTGCTGTTAAATTAATCACAAGATATTACTGCAACAGCTGTGTTACATCTACTGTCCTGTTTTATGTTGCTATCATAAAATTAAGTCTGCATTTTTAAGTTCTTGAAATATAGACTAGAAGTTCAAGTCTACTGACTAATGTTCTGATGCAAACCATTCTTTTTGGTGCAAAATAATCAATGGTTTGCATCAGAACATTAAAAGGGTTAAATTTCACACTGCGTAGAACAATGTTAACTGTACATGTTGTATTTGTTTAGCAAACTGGTGTGGCTGCAAAGGAGAAAGCTGAGGTGGGTGACTTGGAAATATGTAAACTTTTCTCTACAGCTGCGGCTGTCAAACACTAATTAACAGGAAATAATTTACATTTCAGTCTGTGTTTGTTTACAGCAAGTTTACAAGACCATGGAGCCAACGATCAACACGTCAGTCACAGCTGTCACAGGTAAGAATGAGGCTCTAAATTGAAGCTGAAATCCTTGTTGAAGCTCAAGCTATTAATTGGCTCCTGAGGATAGAAGCTGGAATCTATGGCTTCTGAAACCAATCAATCTGGTGACACTAGAAGATGGTTGAAGCTGGGGTTGGTGCAGAAACATAAACAACAACTTTGAAGCTAAAGTTGTAACTGATGAAGTTTTTTCATAAACTGCTGAAATTGACTTATTGAAGCAGTCTGCAGTCAGTATTGACTCACACTTCTATCTCCTCCTCCCCCTTCTTCTTTTCTCTGTCTCTTAGATGTTTACAGCTTCCTCAGCACTCCCTCTCGTGACCTCTACCCCAGTGTGGCTGTTGTGGGTTTCTCTGGCTTCCTGGGACTTTACATGGCCAAAGGTAAAAGAAAAAAAGCCATCATGCAGAAATGTGGTTCATTGGGTTTGCAAGTTCATCACATGACAATGTTTTTGAAAGTCTCTGCTAGGAACCTGTAATTGTAATACTACCAAAAAGAATGAGAAAAAATCAGTTTCAAAGATTAATAATGAAAGCACAATCATTACTAAAACATATTTACAACTTGATAGATAAATCAACATGTATAACTGGAAGCCTTTATAACAATCTGACTTCCTGTTGTTTTGTTTTTTTCCTTTTTCAGGTTCCAGAGTAAAGCGACTGATATTTCCAGTAGGTCTCATGGCATTGAGCGCCTCCTTTTTTTACCCTCAGCAGGCTGCATCTCTATTAAAGGTGTGATTGTTTCTCCTTACATGTAACTAGATCCATTAATGTTTTTGTATAATGATTTTTTTCCATCTGTGGGATCCAATTATCAATAAATTATAGAAAGGAATTTTACTTAAGAGGCATCACTGTGAGTGCCAGGTATACTGTGCATTGGAACTCACATAATCCTGAATAATAACTTCCTCTTTCTATGATTTTTCTTATTCTGTCAGACAGGAAACAGCTACAGCTTTCAATTGCCTACTTTTGATGACTCATTTTGAAACATTCCATAGTGCTGATGTTTTCTTTTGGTCACCAGTCAAAATATCAGCACAAAGATTATATCAGTTCACAAGAAGCAGGCCCTTACGTTCATCCTGTTAACCTACAGGTCTGAGAAACGTCACTCTGATCTAAACCTTCCAGACATGTTCGCACCAGTTTTTGTTTAATCTCCAGCTGGTTTCCTTCCAGGATAAGGGTTAGTCCTTTCCTTTAGGAAGTCCTGGCTGTGATATCACATTCTTAATATTTTTACTGATGCCCAGTCAGGTCATGCTGTGAACCTCAGGTGCTCATGTAGTGATGGATAAGAACTTTTAAAAAACCCCTGTGTCTAAAAGAGACATGAGAAATTCTATACACGAGACTGAACCCTTAAACCCTTATAATCTCCTCCAGAACGCCAACACCTTGGCTTCTTCTGGGTCATAATTAATCTTGGGAAAGCCCTGTCTAACATTGAGACTAAGTAGGAAACACAATCTTAAGATACTTAAACGTCAACAGACAAGTTCAAAAACCAATTGTACAACAAGTATATACATTTTTATGTGTGTTAAAACCATTGAGACTCCTGTTTGTTTTGTGTCTACATCAGGCAACTCGTGATTCAGCGTACAAATACTCTCAGCAAGGCCGTGTGAAGCTGGAGTCACTGTGGAGAGATCCACCCCTCATCCAAAAGAAGGTGAGTCCCCCCCGGTGCTTCCTGTGATTCACTGACATTCTTCCCTCACTCCTGTTTCTCATGTTTCCTCTTTTTTCCCCCCCTTTCAAGTCTGGGAAAAAGGAAACAGAGAACAGCAGCAACTCCAGCAGCTGAGACAGTGTGCAGTTGACGTAGACATTGTCTGTAATCTGACACAGGAATCATGTTACAAGGACAAATATTTTGATGACAAAGAACCACTTTCCAGTTTTGTGCTGGGTCGCGGACATTTTTGTTTTTTTATTTTAACAACATTCCTTGCTTTTCTGCTAGTAAATATTCACCCCGGTGACCTCATCTGGACTCACCTCAGACGTTGATGCCCTTTTATTCAACATTCGTCCACTGACACTAGATCCACCCCTCATCCAAAAGAAGGTGAGTCCCCCCCGGTGCTTCCTGTGATTCACTGACATTCTTCCCTCACTCCTGTTTCTCATGTTTCCTCTTTTTTCCCCCCCTTTCAAGTCTGGGAAAAAGGAAACAGAGAACAGCAGCAACTCCAGCAGCTGAGACAGTGTGCAGTTGACGTAGACATTGTCTGTAATCTGACACAGGAATCATGTTACAAGGACAAATATTTTGATGACAAAGAACCACTTTCCAGTTTTGTGCTGGGTCGCGGACATTTTTGTTTTTTTATTTTAACAACATTCCTTGCTTTTCTGCTAGTAAATATTCACCCCGGTGACCTCATCTGGACTCACCTCAGACGTTGATGCCCTTGTATTCAACATTCGTCTACTGACACTGAATAATTATGCCTAGTGTTTTTTTTTTCAGTTTAAGCTGAACCTTTGTCATTGAACATGATTAAATACAGGAGAAGACTTGAATTCAGGTTATACATTTATTGCAAATAAAAGCCACTATGTATTCTACATTAAAAGGTAAAACTAAGTACCAAGCGCTAAGCAGATAATATGCAATTACATCACCAGGTTACAATTTTTCCATTTTTAACAAGTGTATAAATTGACACGTCTCATAAGTGAGAGGAAAGCGAAGGAATCACGCGGGCACTGAGTCTCCGCCCTCCGCTCCACCTCTCTCCTGGCGTCATTCCTCAGACGGAGCAGCCATCTTGACCAGGCTGTCCTTGTCGAAGCGGAACAGTCTCCAGCCCTCCCCCTCGGAGAGATCTTCTGCACCGCGCCGCTTGTAGAACTGCATCGACGGCTCGTTGTTCTCCGCCACCACAAACATGATGCCAGTGCAACGTAGCTTCATCGCCAGCTGGATGTGCAGGAAGAGGAACCACATGATTCACTGCCTATTTTGATATTTTACTTTCAATAAAGTTGACCAAAACATTTTTTTTAAACTTGATGTGACAACTGAGGAGGGTCGGGATCAGCTCCCAAGCCTAACCTTGCTATTCTGTTATGACCAACAACAAAAATTAGACTATTCAATTATTATAAAACTACATTTTAATTATTATTTAGCATAATTACAGTAGTGCTGAACATTAAGTAACGATTTATAACAGCAGTAAAAATGTGATCTCAAACTCACATCACTGAGATAGCGCAGCACCTCGGAGCCAATGCCTAGTCCTGCAGAGAAACATGAAGCAGTTAAAACAAGCTGTAACTGAGGAAATACTCAGAAAATGTTAATAAATAATATATTAATAATAATAAATAAATAGTTGTATTTGCTTCTCTACCTCTGTACTCAGCCATGACGTAGAATTCCTCCAGGTAGAGCTGCTTACCGACCCAGGGGTCATATGTTAAGTAGTACATGGCAAAACCCACCACTTGCACATCTGCCAGAGACATGAAAGCAATGGTAAGCATATCCACGTGTGTAAGAGTAGCATCTTTCAGCATTTATGACTGACAACGTTGTTGTACTATTCTGATTGTCGTTACCATTGACTTCAGCAATGACACAGTGATAACATGGGGTTTCACCAAATCCATCTTCCAGTAGTTCTGCAACACAACACCAAGTGGTTGAGAACGTCCACACTGGTCTAGAGTGTAGGTTGTCTGTGTGAGATAAATAATAAATAAACTCACCCCTCTCCGTCAGCTCCACCTGGTGTTCCATGTTCTCGTATTTAGCAAGTTCCTGAGACAAAACATTTACAATAACAATTTTAATATATGCCAAAAAAGGAGGAAAAACAAGAAAAAAAATGCAACAAATATAATGCAAATCCCTTATTGAGCCCTTATACCACGTTAAATCTGATATAGTTAATCAGATTTATTGCTTTGCATGTAAAAAATGTCAGTGAATATAACCGACATGTCTCCTAGTCCTTTTTCTTTTGTTATAACTACAGTTTATAGCTTGCATAAATAAACAACATCGTCGGCGATAACGCGAATAGAAAAACAGGTTTCAAAAATGGAAGGCAGTGTCGACTGACCATATTTGGAGTAAGAAGATCAGAAGTCAGACGGTTTCTCTAAACAAAGACCGACCCAACATTCGGGTCGTTTTCTGAGTATTGACATCGAAGTGGACACCTGTTACTTGAGTATAATCCGGATGTTTTTGTCCGACATTGTCGGACTTAACGTCGAGTAAATCGAAGCGTAAGCGGCACACAAGGCGGATGTCGAGGTGTAAACACGACGGTTGGAGGAGTTTGCGGATGCGCACACACGGTCATCATAGCACGTCGATAAACACAAAGACAATAAACACACTGTCTGATTTTTTTCCCCCCATCGTACCTTCACCAGTCGTAAGATGTCAGCGACGTCTCTGGCTTCAGCTTTTCGCAATTTAAACTCCATTTTCTTCTTTTACTTTTCTTCCCTCTCGTTAGCAGACCTCGATATGTGAAGTGGAAGATTAGTTGTTTCTTCATTCGCCTCAGAGTGGCTTTGCCCCCAATGTCGGCCCTTGATCCAGTCGTGTTCGCAGAGATACTAACATCCAGTATATGGCCCTCGGCTGGGTCGCTGCCGTCTTCTCTACTTCTCTCTTTGTTTACAACAGCTATTTAAACGACAGAAAAGGGGAGGGGCACGATACGATTGGCCGCTACCCAGCCGGTATCCGGTTTCAAATCCCGCCCCTGAAATGCCTTCCGAGTTGAAGGTTGAAGCTGGATAAAATAGGTCGTCATTGATAATTATCTTAACTAATATTTATGATGATCAAATTGGCATAAGATGTTCACAAATTTAGTCCAAACCGACCATCTCAGTATTATAAAATTATGCTTTAGGGTCATTTAAATTAGCCTTAGAAGATTCCTTCTTTTGGTTATCATATTTTGCTAGCTTTTTCCAATTTTTTTGGGCTTTTTCAGCCCACCATGAAGCTATATCATGAATAACTAACGGTTTTCTAACTTTTACCTACATATCTGTAAATGTCAAATCTTTCCATTTACTGGTTCCAAAGTTGAGGTGAGGTGAGGCCGTATCAATGTTTTGTCTTGCTCCTCCCCCAGAAGACACTGGGGCAGGGGCAACACAGACCCTATATCACAAGGGTAATAACATCGTGAACAGTTAAACATCAACAATGAACAGAACAAGTGTCTGACACAATTTCAGGGATATTTTAACTTTTATTGGCCCGTTCAAGGTCAAGCTGTGGTTAATGGGGAAAACGGATTCTTTTTTAACCAGGAAGTCTGATTCAATTCCCACTGCATGCTAATGTGTCCCCGACAACAAACTCAAAGTTAGGACAGTGCAGCACTGCTATCTGCAGGAATTTAAAAAGATATCTTACAGTGAACAACATGCAGGAAAGCCATTGCTATTGACACAATCGCAACAAAGGAATTTAAACTCATTGTAACACCATAAATTCGACATCATCAAATAAAAATGTATGATTATATTAAAAGTATGATAAGATAAACAAAAGCACTTTTATATTTGTCTATAGAAATAATTCAGTTAATTTGAGTTCGTCACAAATATAAACAGAGTAGTCATGATTAAACGTCGTCTTTGACAACTAGGTGTCAAATCGGAGACAAGCACTGAGCAGATTTTTTTTATTTTATTTTATTTTATACCGTCATTACGTATTTCCGAGGACGCGTCATCAACATATGGGCGTGGTTTGCCGAAGCCGGAAGTCTGCTGTCAGTGTTGTCTTTAAGAGGAAGTTCGTCGCTCACACTCTCACTGTCTTTCTCAATCTTTTCCTCTCTTTCCTCTGTTTACACTCTCCCCTGCATCTCCTCTGGCTCTTGAAACACCTGGGATTTCACCATGCTATCTTCAAGGTCAGTGAAAACATAATGGCCTTGAAAATAATTATTTTAAAATCACGGCTATCGGCAGCCAGTCTTAACCATGCTAAATTACTGCTAATTTACCTGTAGCTTTGCCACTTGGCATTTGTAACCTCATTATGCTTAAATGACATTTATCTACGTGAAGCAAGGAAGGCAGCCTGATATAGAAGACAGGGTGGAGCACTTGTAGGTGTGGGCAGAGGAAAAGTTGGTTGCACGTTTGTATGACTCACACGCTCTTATTTGTGTAGGAATTCAATGCCTGTCATGAGTCAGTGATGCCCTGAACGCATACAGTAGTAGGCTGGAATTTCTTCAAAATTAATCCAAAGAATTATACAAAAACGACATTAGTATGTAAATAGATAATAGGAGAAGTGAGCCTTTTGGTTGTAGTATTGCAACTCACATTGACATGTCATATTATTTCCTGAATAATATGTTACAAGACCCTTCAAGAAGTGCTCATACAATAAAGATAAGGAGGAGTAAGATCAGCCCAAATAGAGGAGACTTGATTATTGTTAAAAATATTTTTTGTAAAAATGTTCTGGTGACAAGAATACTAAACTGTAATGCAGATGAAACCATACGTTTTTCAGCATCAACAGAAAACTCATTTATAGTAAACCTTGCTTATGCAATGATAGTTAGCAGTTACTCTCAGGCCAAACTTCAGTATTACATATTGAGACAGTGTTATATGTGATATTAAATTTAAAAAAAGATTGCAGCTAATATGTTTTTATGAGAAGCAAGCACTTTTACAACTATTATTAGTAAGTCAAATTAAGTTAAGTTTTATTTTCTGCGGTAGTTTTTATTAGGGGTTGAAATCCTGTCCAAATATCAGTCAAAGTTTTACAGAAAGGATTATGTTACTGTGTCATTGCTCAGTAAAACACTGGAGGATTGTGACGCAGAGCAATGACAGTTCTGCGTCACACAGAGTCAGAGCAGGTTCAGCTGCTCAGGCCGTACCTTCACCAGTGTACCAGGTCAGGGTCGACCTCCATGTAGGCATAATCTTTTAGTCTACAGACTAAAAATGACAATGTGTAATCCAGTTAATCCTCTCATTAGCTTTTAATTATTTTCCCATTACAAGCAGCATAAAATTAGTCAGAATAGCTGGTAACACAGGTTACAGGTTATGACAAATAATTAACTTCCATTTTTACATTTACCCTACAGCTACAGCATACAAAACATCTGACTTTCTGTGTGCTTTAGTACGGTAATCACAATTCAAATAAATAAGCAGACTTAAAATCGAGGCTTAAATTTCAAACAGGGCAACTTGTCAGTTCGCATATATTTATAGCAAAGTTCACCAAGTATCAGGTTCAGATCTGATTGAATATTTGAACATGTGTGTCATCATTTCACTAATACTCAGTGAATACATATCTTGCCTTGCCTGCCTCTGGCCAGCCTCACCAAACGCAGTATTGTAAGTTGGTCTACGGCTGACCAACCGCCTGACCACAATTTCCCAGTGGATCGTGAGAGACTGATTAATATTGTTTAGAACAACTGCTTTACTGTAAAGCAAACCACAGAAACATTCTACAAAACCACTGCTGAGACGCACAGTAATGACTGAAATTCACCAAATCTATGAAGCTAAATTAAGACAATTTTTCTGGAGATTTTTCCACATTAATAATTCCATCATTTAGATTATTCCCAAATAACCACATATTAATTAGGAGTAGTTGTGATATAATTCACAGTTAGTTCTGATTAATCAGATTAAAGACAGCCATATTATTTTTGTTTCCCCTCACAGGTTTCTGTTGCTACGGTCAGCTGCTGCTTCATCTTTGACCACCAGGTGTCTTTGCTCAGCAAATCAGGGCAAAGCACCTGACATGAAGGAAGGTATGAAGAAATTGTTTCTTCTTTCTTTACTATTTATGAAATAACAAAACTTAGATACAAAAATAACAATACATCATGTTTCATAAAAGCAGAATAAAGAAACATGATGTGAAATGTGTCTAACGTATCTACTTTGCCGTTCTGTTTAGGTTTCCTCAACTGTGACACATTGTTTTCAGGATTGTTTAAAAGTTTTTTGCTTTGTTTTTTATACCACTGTTATGCAGTACAGGAGCTGAACACGTACTCACAGAAAACCAACTGGTAGTACTATTTATATTTACATACCTAATGGCTAAATTCAGCACCATCTTTAGTTAATAATGATACATAATAATAATATGGCCCCTTATATGTCTCCCAACGGGGGAAACGTACGGTGTAAGTCTTGAAAATGACACAGGCTGCCACAGGGATATGTGGTTCCTCTGGGAATTGAATCCAGGACTTTCTGCCTGGTAAAATTCAATTAAGCAGCTATTCAGATATTCAACCTCACAAGGATGCATGAGCTACTTGTCTGTGCTCCGACTTTGGTGTGGAAGAATCCTCCTTATAAGAACACCTTCAAACGGTGTTATCACACACTTGTGAGCAATGGTGAGCTGTTTGTTATGTAACTGTAAATAAGACCAGGTCTCTGACGATAATGTTTTTTTAAGCTCCACCCTTTCTATAAATGTAAAATATTCCTAATTCCTAATACTGTATATTTGTATTAAATTAACCATTTCCTGTTCTCACATGATCAGTTATGTATCCCTGATGTATTTTTAATCACCTTTGTCTCTTTGCAGGAAATCCACTTTTACATGTGTCAAATGGTGTGTGTTGGTAAATTCAGAAAAACCTTAAACTCCACATTACTGTCTGTCTGTCTGCCTGTCTGTCTGTCTGTCTGTTCACCTGTCCTTCTTTTGTCTCTCATCACCTTCTCTGTGGTGGCCTGATCTGTTGTCACCATGTCTGGATAACAGGGTCTCCATCACTGCCTCCTCCGACATGTTTCAGCTCTACATTATACATTCAAACAGATGCTGTCTTCCCTTAGTTTATGTCATTTACTGAATACACAGTTTAATCTTTTCGGATCAGAATTGTAAGAATTTTGTAAGAATGTCTTATAAGAATTTTGTTCCTAGAAAAGACACCTACAGGTGATGACATTCATTTCAAATTCCAGCAAACCTTCAGTGCTGTACTGTAAGGGCCAACAGTCTGGTCCTGGCAACAGCGTTTTACATCCTTTATTGAAGCACCAAAGGACCTAACCACTAGATTCTGGTCTTTGTAAATACAACATAAGATCATTCAAATGAATGAAGGTTTCCATTTAAAGACATTAAAGTGTAGCAGACGTGTGAGATGGTAGTATCCTTGGACTAAGAGGTGGAAAAACTGACACTGCTTCGAACATTCGTTGCTCTCCCAAAATGTTGAAATTTCTATATCAATTGAAGACACGTCAGCTTTCATATGGTTTATGGTTGATCAACTAACTGACCATGTCTTCTGTCTCTTTTAACTGCAGCTTTCTCCGTGCCATTGTCCTGACATTGATTTGTTTCAGTAGTCACACAGGCAGCCGCTGGAACTCTTCCTTCTGCTCCACAGCAGCACTAAATCCCTCTCTGCAGCATTCACTGGTGGCATGTGTCACTTTAGCTTTTCTTCTCTTTCAGTGCCACAGCTTTAATGTTTTGTCACAGCTGCTTTGACACAGAAGTTCCTCCTATCTCTTCTCCCTTTTAGTCTTGCTGTCATTTTATATCATCTCACAGCGTTGATTCTGATGCATACGGCTTTGGTTTTAGTAGATGTTCAATGTCTGCATCTATTTAGCCTAGTCTTTAGTGACGTTACAGCAGCATTGCATGATCTAACAGAGATGATATAAAAAACAGTCTCTGACAGCAACACTGTGGCATAGCAGAACTGACTGGTTCTATTGTTTTTTAGTGAGGAACAGGCTCAGAGAAATCGTAGGAGCTTCCACGAACTGGAGGTTTGTAAACATCTAAGCTTTATACATTGACATGTCAAAGTTTTACAAAGAAGTCTGGGGAATAATTTGATGCTTTGCTCAAAGACTACATGGTCAACAGTGTCTGTAGGCAGAGCACTGAACCTCAAAACAAAAATTTGCTAAATTTAAATAAATTAACAAAAAGTAGCAAAAAATATATTCTGATAACGTTAACTGAGGAATCGCTACAAAGTGTCAGACGAAATGCAATAACTCAACATTCTCTGTGCAGCGACCACAAACACGCCATGGCAGATCGAGCGTCGCTGTCCTCCATGTTGGTCACATCTCAGCAGGATCTTCCAGCCAGATCTATGAAGCACAGTTTCCTGGAGGTCCATCTGCCTCTGGGCTCTGAGCCTGAGCTGCGAGAGAAGTACCTGACCTTCCACAACTCTGTCAGGTGGGACACACAACTAAATGAAGACCCAGGGCATCAACTCTGCTCACCCGACAAACATACAGTACATACGTCACAGTGGACTGACCTGGACTTCTGTGTTTTTGCAGGTTTGGCAGAATCCTGGAGGACTTGGACAGTTTAGCAGGTCACATGTTCTTCTCCACAATGAGTTTTGTACCAAAGTCAGCAAATTAAACTAAAACAGTTTTCTGACCACATCTGTCCACAGTCCTCATCTCTTACTCCCACACCTACAACCCAGAACTAAAGAGGTCTCCCCTGTCCATTGTCACAGCCCTGGTGGACAAAATTGGTAAAAGTCTCCAACATTAAAGTCAGGTCACTATAGAATATTGTTGGACCTGTTTAGTTGTTAAAAATTGAATATGGTTTTCCTCATTTTGGGTAGGACACCCACTGATACCATGTTGTATATGTTGATATTTGTGATTCTCAGACATGAGGCAGCATGCCATCTATCCTGACTGTGACATCAAGTTCACTGGTCATGTGACCTGGGTAGGAAAAACCTCTATAGAGGCCAAGATGCACATGTCACAGGTTTGTTGGGACCACTCCTATATTTGTCTGTAAACACTGTTTAGTTTTGCAGGCATAATCAGTGAAATGGATATGTTCACATTTACATTTTTTTAATTCTGTTTTTAATTCTTTTGAATCTTTTGCAGTACCATGATGGAGCTTATGCCCCGATTCTGGATGCTACATTTGTCATGGTGGCTCGAGACCCAGAGAACAAGAGGTGAGAAGAACGTCAGCAGCTTCTCAGCAGAAGCTCAACATTCCCACACCAGTTTAAGAGCTGAAATACCATATCTATTGTGTGACCTCAAAGTGCAAATTAAGAATATCTGTCCCTGATTTAAAGAAATCTTCATGTTGAGGATTTTGGAAGCTTGTTGTTTTTCTACTTTCAGCAAAAATAAACCGATGTGCTTTTCCTCTGATCTGTTCTAGAGCGGCTTTTGTAAACCCACTAAAGCCTGATGGACCAGAGGAGGAGGAAATATTCAAGGAAGGGGAAGGTACCACATGTTTCTGTCATCTTTATCACACCCATCCAAGTGAGAACAGAAGGTTTGAGCTAATCTTCTCTTTCCCCTTAATTGTATTTTTTCCCCCAGCAAATAAATCCCGTCGTGTTGAGTTGAGCACTGCATCCCTGCTGAAAGTTGCTCCTACAGATGACGAGAGGAAGATCGTCCATGGTCTGTTTCTCAACACCCTGGACACAAAGTACGACACAGATCAAAATTGGTTTAATATACTCAACAACAATTAAGGATTCTTGTCGCTTGTCAAGGGCAAATGTGACCATATTGTGTTGGTTTAGGGTTTTTTTTGTGCCTCCTCCATAGAACTGTCAGTTTCCGGAGCAGAATTCTGCCTCCAAACTCAATCTGGATGGAGGATGCCAAACTTAAAGGACTGGAGATCTGCCACCCTCAGGTGAGCTGAAAAATAAAGACTAAGGACTGAACAGTTATTGAGATAAATTTGTTTAATTTATAAATTGTTAAACTTCAATCTTTGTGATTGATGTTTGTTCTTCATCCCCTGTAATGATTAAATATATATGTTCATATATATTTAATTAACAGTCTGTGGTTCATATATATATGTATATATATATTTAATTAACAGTCTATGGTTCAATGGGTATGAAGGTGCCGTCCACCTCCCACATAGCAGTTCAGAGAACAGTTCAGTTCCTTTAACATAGTTACTGGTTCCCCAAAGTCTTAACTTGATGGAGTGGAAACTACAGTTTAAAAACTAACAGTAAAAGTTAATTTACAGTTCTCTCTAGCTTGCTGGTTCGGGAGTGCTGCTTCGCTCAGTGTTCCCTTCCCCTTAATTGAGGTACAGGCAGAACTTAATTTTTTTCTTGTTTTGTTAAGGCCCACTATCATCTTCAGGATTGCAGTTTTTCTTTATACGTTTTTTTTTTATCCTTGTTCTGTCGGGGTCTTCCGAATCTTTCTGCTGTCATCCAGACTTTGAGAATCCTTGTTTGGAGATTTTCTGGTTGCATGTTGGGTCTTGAAGGTTCTATATCTTTGAGGCCCTTTTTTTCCACCTGGATTTTGGATGTTTTGGGGAGAAAGCATTGATGATTTCTGATTTCTAGTTGCTTCTCACAGAAAATAGGCACTGACTGAATTTTAGGGGTTTACAAAGAGGAGGTAGGTAGAGGCCTTTTGTCCAATGCCATGCCTTTTTTTGAAAGCTGTCTGGAAAAGGGGCAGGTGTAAAAACATCTATAAATTGTGAACCATATTGACAATTTTGTAGATTTTACAAACATATCTTTTTATCTGTGTCTTTTGAATTGAGCAGCAGAGGAACATCTTCAACAGGATATTTGGAGGTTTTCTCATGAGAAAAGCCTACGAGCTTGGCTGGGCCAACGCCTGCTCATTTGGGTAAGAAATACAGACCAGGTATGTTCTGACATGTTGTGCTCCTACTATAAACTGAGCCTGTCTACTGTTATCCTGCAGGGGATGTCGACCAAATCTGGTTGCTGTTGATGATATCTTGTTCCAGAAACCCGTGGAAATTGGCTCCCTGTTGCTGCTGTCGTCACAGGTCAGTGTGTGTGTCATCAACAATCACACCAAAACAACAGTGCATTACTGACGATCCAATAAACTGTTTAAATGGCATTAAGGTCATGGGGCTAAAATTCAACTACACTCTCAGTGTATTAATTATGTGTTTGTGTGTCAGGTGTGTTACACACAGGAGAACTACATCCAGGTGAGAGTTCACAGCGAGGTCTTTGACCCCCTGACCCGCCAACACAACACCACCAACGTATTCCACTTCACCTTCATCTCGGATCGTGACGTCCCAAACATTGTGCCACAGACATATGGAGGTAAACACACACACAAACATAGATACGATAATTATAAATTGTAAAGGGTTTTCTTATTCTATTCTCATTTCCATACCTAATACATACTAAAACATGTGTATTAATTTGTCTCAGAGTCCATGTTGTTCCTGGATGGAAAAAGACACTTCAACCAAACCGTGGGTCTCTGAGTTCCCTGATGAAAGACATCTTACTGAAAATGACCCTCTGCCCATTCAGTTTTCAAAAGTGACATCCACACATTTTTATCCAGTTAGTTACAATGCTCACTTACATTGTACCAACACTACAGCTGTAGTTTTGTTGTTTTCTTTTCAAACATGTTTTTTTTTTTTTACAGTTTTTAGCTGTTACAATTACAATATTACTGATGTTTTTCACACCAGCACCACTGTTTACTGAAAAGAAAGCTGAAGTTAAACCTTCTGTATCATGTCACATTTCTTTATGAATTATTTTACCTTTTTTACCCTATATATACAGGTTGTATTGTTGCTTAGTGAATGAAATATGCATTTTGCTCACTTTTATATATTAAATATGGAGCTTTATCTTTTAATGTTTCAGACTGCTGATGAAAGGAAAGGTGCCATCATGCTTTTTTGCCTTATATGAATTACTCATGGAAAGGTGCCATCATGCTTTTTTGCCTCATGTTACTCATGAATTGCACTTAATAAAGGTTTATTTATCTTGATTCCACAAATCTTTGTGTCTTGTGTTTTCTAAAGTACATTTTTTAGGATATAATTTTATTACATTTATCACTGCAGCCGAATTTCTTTTCGAATTATAATGGGAAAATGACAATAACACTAAATGTACAGTCGTACACATAAGCATTTGTTTGCTGTTCAATACCGCCTTTATTGCTAATGTGTGTGCGTATGTTGTGCTTTTACAGTAGACATCAACGGCACTTTTAAAAAGAAAAATGCAGAGATATAACAACAAAAAGATACTAAAATTTGAAGTAACAGGTTCTATGTTAGCCCAACTCGTTGATTTTCCTTTTTTAATGTGACTTTAATACAGTACATCTACCCTAAACTCTAAACATTGGAATTCAAAGCAAATTAAAGCTTGCGGAACGATTGTTAGCCTTAGCCATCAACGTAACCCGGGCTCATTTTGAAGACGGACGCAACAATCATTTAACCGCTATCATCTGCAGTTCGTCTTTGAGTGAATATCTACAGTAATTGTGTCTGGTGTGACCATTCATTCTTCGTAAAATGACAAGCGTGTGGCGCTTCGTCTCTAACGCACTATGTCGCATCACTGGACGGAAAGTGGTGAGTTTTCTAAGCAAAATTCTGAACAGAAGGCGATTTTCTGTCTGATGCTAATATAGTTAAAATGTTCCGGGGCTGCCATGACCTTGTGGACGTTTAATGTTAACACGGAGTTGGCTGCTTTTACTAAGACCCACTACTCTATTTGCTTTTTGTTTTTATTGCCTTGTTCTAAATAGTTTCCTATTTTTGTCATGCTTTCGTCGGAACCACAGGCAGCTCCGACGGTGTCTGAGGTAAGTACCATAGTTTAAGCTTATCACGCTGCTCATGTTTGTATATAATAATATAATGTCTCTCAATGGCGATTCCAAACATGCTTTTATTTGATTAAAAAATAGGTCAATTTTCATCTGCTGTAAAAAAAAAAAAAAAGAGAGAGAACAAGTAAGGCAGCATATATCACGTTAAGGAAACTATTCTGGTTAGATAAAGAGGTCAATAGGGTGCGAAGCAGTAGTAACCCAGTCTGTTTCTCTACTAAACTAAATGTTCTACATTCTTAAAACCACATAACAACGCCACGTTCTTAATTAACTGCAGTTGAAAATGAGCCCTGTGATTTTGAGGGCGTGGTTGTTGTCTTTAGGGAAAATAAGTACACATTGAGGCAACGGTGTTTTTGTAATAGAAAAAATAGACAATATAAAAACAATAGACACTATTCCTATTATCAGAACTTATGATATATTTGTGTGTTCAATGGTGTAGCTGTTAGCATATCTGCCTGGGAAGCAGAGAGCAGGGGTTCGATCCCCAGAGGAACCACATGCTTGTTAATCCTCCTCTTGTAAGTCGCGGTGTAAATAAATTAAAAAGTGGTGGTCTGAGTGTGTGTGCAGCAGGGTGTCAGTCGACCGTACGCTGCAGCCGCCCCCACATGGACCTATACTATAACAGGAGTTGATCCTGGCAGTTACAGGTGTGAGCATTCATCCAGTTGACTGATGTTCATGTATGATACTGCAGACAGAACAACTAAAATCAAAAGTGTTTTTTAAAATCAATATCTAATCAGTAATTTAATAATTTTAAAGTTTGATTGTCTTCATTTACAGACCCAGTTCTTTATTTACCTCATTTTTTCCACATCTTGGTTCAATAGGGCTTAATTTGCTACTTTGTGTGCTATGCTCTGATTGGTCGGCTCCTGTGTTCCTCAGCTGCTGGTTGACCTGTCAGAGTTTATCAGACTAACCTCACCGGCAGTACCTGACCCCGCGGAGACATGGCTTCAGTCCCATAAACAACCACCACCTTCATCAACACCACCATCACTAGCGCCACCTGTCTGTACTGATGAAGCCAGTGCTGGGTTAGTTAGTTCAATGACTGAGTCACAGCTAGAAAATCCAGTAAGAATCCAGACAGCATGACTGTGTTTTTTTTCTGACTGGGTCTTGGTTCATTGTTTCCTCTGAGGAAAATGATTCACTAACTAAAGAAATGAGCTAGGGATTAAACACTGGGCGAGTTCTCCTTTTACACTTACTGTATATTTATTTTACAAACTAACAGTAGAACCACCTTTGTTATATTTACTTTAACATGTTAAAATATTTGAACTTGTATATGGACTTTTTATTTCTCTCTCTCTGTTACTGTATTAAGTTCTCAACTTCTACACAAACATCATCTCCTTGTTTACTTCACTGCTTGCTTGCTGTGAATGTGATGATAACCTTCACACCGTCTGTCTAACCTAGAGTTATGCAATATTTTATGTATATTTAAAAATGCATACTTTGTTTTTTGTAACACCAGGGTTCTACGGTTGTTGTCTCGAACTCCTTGAACGAGTTCACGACCAGGGCATCATTTGACATCAAGGTAGGTTGGTAATCTGGTATAAGTAGTAAAAACATAAACCATAAAAAAAAAATCTCAAAACAACGTTTTTGTTGAATAGAAATGTGACCTGCATGGTCTGGAGGCGGGGCCTCCTCTAAAGACGGAGCTGAGTCGTGACGAGGGTCTGCGTTTTTATAGAACCATGCAGGTAATGCGACGCATGGAGCTGAAAGCAGATCAGCTGTACAAGCAGAAGATCATCAGAGGCTTCTGTCACCTGTATGATGGACAGGTGAGGCACAGTAGGAAGAAAAAAATACCTGTTACTAAATAGGTTATTTTAGGCAAAAATGTTTACAATTAACCTCTAAAGTACAAAGATGTGACATGGTGAACATGTGAACTCATCCAAATTTCAAATATTAAAACTGCAGTACTTTTGAAAGAATTATCAAGGACTTGAGCATCTGTTAATCACCTTCCCTCACAGGAAGCATGTGCCGCGGGTGTGGAAGCAGCCATCGACCCCTCTGATCACCTGATCACAGCGTACCGTGCACATGGATACACCTACACAAGGGGTGTGTCCGTCAGAGAGATTTTGGCCGAACTCACAGGTGAGGATAGAAATGGTTGGAGCTACATTGAAATCTTCAGAAGAAAATGTGTTTTGAATGCTTAGTTTCTGTTTAACATCAGTTTGTGATCACTGGCTGAAAAGTTTTAACACAGTTATTTTTACAGGACGCAGAGGGGGCGTGGCCAAAGGCAAAGGCGGTTCGATGCACATGTATGCCCCGAATTTCTATGGAGGAAATGGAATTGTGGGAGCTCAGGTGATTAAGAGGCAAATACATCAATTTAGTTAGTGGGGAAAAGGATTTTAAATAACTCCATGTTGGTGCAGGTTCCTCTGGGAGCAGGGATTGCTCTGGCGTGTAAATATCAAGGCAACAATCAGATCTGTGTCACACTTTATGGAGATGGAGCAGCCAATCAGGTGAGACCACCACACTTTATATATTATCCACCAAGAGTTTGTTCTTAACCCACTTACTCTCCAGCACCTGGGTCAACAGAGAAAACCTTTAATTTTGTTTTTAGGACACATGAGTCACTGGTCTATTGCTGCCTCCTAATTGTCCCCCTAAATATAATCAGGGTCAGATATTTGAGGCCTTCAACATGGCAGCCTTGTGGAAGCTTCCGTGTCTTTTCATCTGTGAGAACAACAAATATGGGATGGGGACATCAGTGGAACGAGCGTCCGCCAGCACTGATTACTACAAGAGAGGACACTTCATGCCAGGAATCAGAGTGAGACTCCAACCCATTACTGTCTGATTGAAAATGTGACTCTGTGGTGGTCTAAGGGAGTGTGCAGCAGTGTGTCAGTCGACCGTACGCTGCAGCCGCCCCCACATGGACCTATACTATAACAGGAGTTGATCCTGGCAGTTGCAGGTGTGAGCATTCATCCAGTTGACTGATGTTCATGTATGATACTGCACACAGAACAAAAGTAGAGATGATGGTCATTTTCCAAAACAGGGAAAAATACTATTTACTCATTTAATCATGTCAGTAATATTCATTTAAGACGGACTGGCTTCACTCTGTCATGGTCCTTGTTCATGACACATTTGTTTTTAACAGGTGGATGGGATGGATGTTCTGTGTGTCAGAGAAGCCACCAAGTTTGCAGCAGACCACTGCAGGACTGGAAAGGTAAAGCCCAGAATGTCCAGCCTGAATTAATACCATGTGGGCCACATGACTACTGAAGTTCATTTGGTTTTGACATACTGTAATACATGTTTGACAAGTTGTCAGAATAATGTTATGTCATGTTTCAGGGACCCATTATCATGGAGCTGCAGACCTACCGTTACCATGGTCACAGTATGAGTGACCCAGGGGTCAGGTGAGTTACATTTAAATTAGGTTTTACACTGAAACACTACCCTTAGTTAATATACAGAGGTTTGTTTCTGTAGAATAAATCTTAACAAAAGATCACTTAACCATAGTAGGCTTTTTAAGTCCAATGATCATGTGACCTCCAGCTACCGCACTCGTGAGGAGATCCAAGAAGTCCGCAGTAAAAATGACCCCATCTCTCTGCTGAAGGAGCGCATGCTGAGCAGCAACATGGCATCAGTTGAGGAGTTTAAGGTGGGTTTCTGCAAATCTTGCCTTCCATTAAACACCTTACACACAGTTTAAACACTGCCAGTGTGTCTGTGGTGCCCTCTCAGAGCATCTAGTTTAGATTAACTTGAACTTTCATAATCCTGCACTGAGGAGATTGTTAAAGAAGTTTGTCTGGTATTTGTCTTAATTACTGGCCTAAATTTGATGATCGTTCCTTTTCACTCTACAGGAAATAGATATTGAAATACGGAAGGAAGTGGAAGATGCAACTCAGTTTGCTACATCAGACTCGGAGCCACCACTGGAGGAGCTGTGCAACCACATCTTCTCCAACAACCCACCACTACAGGTGCGCGGGACGCACCCTTGGGCCAAACTGAAATCCAGTAGCTGAACCCAAGACGGTCGTCTGAAGTTTAAATCAAACTGCCTTTGAAATTTAAAACTCTGTGAGCTCTGTCACAGGAGTTGATTGTTAGAAATCCTCAGTTGTACAGTAGAAATGCTCTTTTCTTAGACGTGACATGGGTTTTTATATCAGAGTTCAAAAGTTCGAAATGCTGCAAAGGAGTTTCTGGGACAGTCCTGTGCAAAACTGAGGGTTGGGATGTGGTAGGAAGGGCCTCAGAGGAAATGGGTTTAAGCCATGAAGGGTGACCTACTGATCTTCTGACCTTCAATGGTTGAAGTTCAATTTTGTTCTGAACAAGGCCTTTCTGTCACTGCAGCGGAAACTTTCAGAAACATTCAGCACCTCCATGTTTGCACTTTTGACCTCAGCATTCCCCACCTCTGTGAGGATTCATATAGCTTTCTGTTTTTAATTATGTATTTACAGTTTTGAAAGTTTATTCTGTAGATTGTTTTGACCACTGAGTTGCAAGATTTAATGTGTTTGATTTAAATTATTTATTTTTATAAGGTAAAGTCTGTGATCTGGACACTGAATGGTGTTCCTGTTTATCTTGACTTTGGTTTTATAACAGTTTTTGTTGCTATTATGTTACAATAATATATATATAATATATATATTATGTTACAATTAATATTACATGTACAGATATTGTGCTTGCTTGTGTATGAGTGTGCATGTGATTGAGCTAAAGTAGTGTGATGTATAACAATATATAATATATGTCGGTCTTTCTCCTTAACATGTACATCGTTGTGTGTTGAACACAATGCGTTAAATTATCAGAACAAAAATGGAAAATAAATATTTATTGAAATATAATTTCATATTTTATTTTGTTGTTCTCTTAGTCTACCAGTAGGTGTCCCTAAATAACTTGCTTTTCAGATTCTTAGAACTTGCGTATTTAGATTCGAATACATAAGACCCAAAACTGTGTTTGTTGAAATTGTTTGTCTGGACTGACTAATTAACTTTGAGATAAGATAGCTTTCTCTTGGGTTTTAAATTGAACAATACAGATTGACCGTAAGAATTGATTGGGTTTTTTTTCAATTGAAATGAGTCCAAACCTTTCTTTCACGACTTGGATTTATTTATTTATAACACTTGGAAAACTGCGACATATTCATAGTGATCTATATACACACCATGTGTCATTTAAGGTTAAAACCGCAACCACAGCACAGTGTAATATATCATTAGTTCACTACAGTTTGCTAACATCACCTAAGAACTACGCCTCCTAGTGTGACGCCATTGTGACGCGGCAGCAGTGCGAGACAGGTAAGCCGACACCGGCCGCCATATTGGGAAAGAGCGGAAACGAGAGAGAGAGAGGGGGAAGAGCGAGAGACCCAAGAGTTGTGTGCTGAGTCAATCACCCCTCTTTTCTTCCTCCTCCTCTTCTTCGTTTTCCCTATTCTCGCCACTCTTTTCCATGGTCGTCTCTCTGGAGGAAGAGGCGGTCTGAGCGCCACTACGGATCCGGAACCAGAGCGTCTCGTTCGGCTCGGTGTGTTCGGCTTCTCCTAGCTGTCAGACACGGAAATACCAGAGCGTTCTTTTTTGAACAGTGGTAGAAGAAAAGGAAATAGTTTGAAGTCCAAGTGTCCGCGGCAGCAGAAAAGAGAGAAGTCAAAGAAGAGAAAGAAAAGTGAAGGAGGGAGGAGAAAAGGGAGGTGAATATGCCTCTGGCTCAGTTGGCAGATCCCTGGCAGAAGATGCCGCTGGGAGGTACAGAGGTGAGGCTTCTACATATTTTTAAAATCATTTTTGAAGTTACTTCGAGAAAGAAACTTCACCGCGGCGAAATAAAGACAGTATAATCGACAATATCTGAAAATGTTTCTTTAAAAAAAAATTGATGTGAATATCAGTCAAAGTGTCGTAGAAACCATTGTAAACACTGTAGTAAATCACTACAACACACAAACAGGGGCCCTATTAATGACATTTAAATAAACAATTTTAATGATCATTTACAACTGTATGATGGTGTTTATGAGCAGCAACACTGCCTTTAGTCCGGGTTTTGTATTTTCTTCTGTTTTCTTTGTGATAAAAAAGTGACCATATGTAACTTGAAACTGTCTTTAGTGTATTTTTTTACACACGTTGATATATATAGTACTATAGTACTTCCTCACAGTCTGTAATAGAAAGTGAACATTGGGAAGTTGATGAGAGTATCTGTGGTGCAGGTATTTGTCTGTTTACACACACACAAAAAAATCAGAATAAAATGTAGAACCCGTATGCAACAGTTGCAATTGGATAATATCTCAAAATTTATAATTTTCATGCAAGATATGGATTGTATATCTAGGTCTATATGTAGAGCTGTCAATTAATATTTTTAAAAAGATAATCAATTGACACCAAGAGGTGAAATATAGCTAGAAATAGTTTCAGCTCAGCTGTAAGTCATTTCTTTATTTCTACTTGTCATTTAGATCTTGATAAGGGTCAGTAGGCGGAGAGAAAGGTGTTGAGGAAGACCTCACTTCTTTTTTTTTGTGTATCCACTTCCTGTACAAGGCTTAGCAACCCTGCATGGAGAAGTGGCTGCAGTGTTTGTGTCAGATTGTGTGTGTTAAAGTTGAGTCATGTCAGGCCTCTCTCACTCTCAGCGCAGCGGCAGCAGTGTAATACCGACCCTATAACAAGTTCGTACCTGCCTGCCTTGTTTTCCAACTTAGCACCCTAACACTTTACCTCAACTAAAGAGCAGTGCAGTGCTCTGGTCTGGTCTGAGAGCCCAACCTTTGACCCCTGTGTTACACCTGTGAGTCTATCGACATAAGTACGAGGGTATAGAAGTAGGATAAACAATATCCAAGGTTGAAATGACAGGATATAATAACAATATTAATAATAATATAACAAGAATGAATTCATTTCAACTAAAGTACTGAGGATTCAATTTTAAATGTATGAGTGACTTGGACTGAAAACCACATGCCTTCATTTACTTATTGTGACTCACAATTGAAACGTTTGTGAAAATCTCCTAGGGCTTAGTCTATCCATATGTAAACGCTTGAATTACTGAGAATGTTGTATAGAAATAAGGCCTAAACATTTGCTTTTTCTGTTAGAGACACAGGTGTGAAGTTTTCCGCAGAAACCAGATTAGTGGATTGTTTCCATAGGGAAGAATTAAACTGAAACAAGTCAGTTACAGGTAGAGACAGATGTTCCCATTGATGGTGATTCAGTCTGAAGACACTCCAACCATGCAGTCTGACCAGACCTTGTCTGAAAATCTCATACCGTGATGAGATCTCAGCCTGAGGGCGTCAGGTTTCTGAGAAGATTATCAGATTATTTTATTCTCTCTCCTTTATGCTGGGATATCCATAGAAAGCCTGGCGGTGATATCGGTTGTTGTCACACTCTTCTACCTGTCTGAACGTGTCCCCGGAGTGATCGCTTTCTAACTTCATACCAGTGTTTAAGGCAGAAAATCCACATTCCTCCTCCTGTGCATGCATTTATCCAACCACACTCTGACAAAAGACCTCACTCATTGAGGGCTTCTGCTTTTTCACCAACAGTTTCCCTCTTTGTGTTCAAGTTTTTTGAAGTGCGGATGTATGAAGTAGTAACCTATTACCGACACTGTTCTGGCCGCGTGTGCCTTCGATCCTGTTAACCTGTGTGGGAGTTTGACAATAGCGTTCAGTGAAAAGGTTTCAGACACTTAACAAAAGGCTCACGTAGTAAAAGCTACACCTGCTTTTGGTGTGCAATATCTGTGGAACGTCAACAGCCTTTCTAAAAGGAAACCACTAATCTGCTACACTGAAGTCCATAGAGAAAACATTGTGAAAATGCAAATACAAAAATGCAGATTCATCAACAGAAAAGTTGCTTCATCATTTTTAGGAAAAACTTTGCTTTAGTCCTTTTTTTATTGACACATATTGCACTAATAAGATTTTTGGTTCCCTTGGCTGATGAGTCACCAGAGTTTGGCTACTCTGGTTATTCCCAAACCTTTTACCTCATCTCTTTTTCCATGTTTTTCTGTTATCGTTTTTCTATTGCGAAATGTGCCTTGATTTCTGCTCTGCAGGGCGGCTGATAATAATAAATAATATGACCATTTATTCAGTGAGTCAAAATGAAAGCCGCCCCCTCACTGAGCTGCTCGCCTCACCCCTGAATCTTCCGTCAAATAAAAGCAAACATGTCGGCGGATCCATTCTTTGGTGTGACAGAAATAATAAAACAATCTAGTTTCAATGGTTCGGTGCTTTGAGGGCTTTGTAAATAATTTAAAGAGAATCAAACAAACACAGGAATTTATTTTGATTTAAAAACCCCAAAACCCTTTCTCTGTGTACTGATAAGAGATTTTATCTTTATCCTCTAAACGGTCAGACAGGCAGCAGCAGCTCTGATGAATGAATATTCTTCTCTGTGTGTGTTTACAGGATGGCCATCATGACACTGAGGACTCAGTGGGTGACGATGACTCGGCCCCCGTAAGTTTGTCTTCTGCTCACAGTTTTCACCTTCTCCAGATCCATATTCCATTCTCCATCAGCATCTAAAGGAATTCTTTAATAATTTAGCAGTTGAACCGTTTCTGTTCACTGTACTGACGTCACCAGTCTGTGTGTGCGTGACATCATGTAGCTCTGAGTTTAAATGTTATTGACAGACCAGCAACTTTACGCTTGTTGGCCTCTGACCTGTGTGTGACCTTGTGTGTGTGTGTTCATCTCATAATTTGTCATTGTCTGGAAAATCACATTTCATCATAGCCATTCAAAAATTTAACTGCATTGAGTCAAGTTTTTTTTGGCTAAACTGTTGATGTCTGAAAGTCAACATGGCAGCAGGTGTTAGCTGCAGGTGTTAGCTTTGTTGATGCATATTTAACTTAAGTTAAGTTACCTAATTTTACCATGTTCCACTATTTAATGTTTATTATTTATTTGCAAGCGTTTTGGTCTATTGTTAAATAACAAAATTCTTTAGCACAATGACATTATTTCTGCACTGACATTAAGCAAATCTGTAAAAAACAAAACAAAAAACAACATAAAACTTAGTCAGACCTGAGGCTTGCGCTAAGAGCTATCATTGTGTTAATTATTAGCTTACTTTTAGCTGTATATTTTCTAAAAGTGAGCGTGTGATGTCAAGCAAATCAGAGTTCAGCTCTTATTGACTAACCAGTAGTTTTTCCACTCATTTGGAGTTGTGTGAGACCTTGTGTGTGTGCAAGAGTGTGTGTAAGAGTGTGCGTTAGACTAGACCAACATTTTGTCCTCTTTGAAAAATCTGACGCCTCCTCCTGCAGTATAATGTCTGCTCTGAAAGTAAAGCTCTTTATTAAAAACCATGAGTCATCTTCAGGCACAACAATACCCCCCCCCCCTCCTTTTCTCTCCCCGTCTCCCCTCACTCCCTTCCCTCTGATCCCTCTCTTCCAGTGCTCATCATGTATTTAACAGGGAGTTATTTTCTGCCTTAGGTGTTGTTGTTGTTTACTCAGAGGTAACGTGGAGAGTTTTATGTGTGCTGTTTTGTGCATGTGTGTGATGTCGGGGAACATGATGTAATGCAGACTTTATTGGCTCTAACTATTGATTATTTTATTACTGCTCTGATCCGTCTCATCTGTGGAATGTCTTTCATTAGTAACGACACCTAAAACCTGTGTACAGCAGTCATAATGCAGTAGTACTATTACTACTACTTCCAAAAGAAGGTGTTCCTAAAACAAGGGACAACCTGATCCAGTACTGAGCATTGGTTTGGTTCTAAAAATGCTATAAGGGTGTGTGTGTGTGTTGGCAAGATTCTGGCGATACGATACGTATTACGATATGCGATGTACTGCGTAAACTGCAATACTATAGGCACGACTGCATATTGAGTTTTTCTTGAGCAATTTAATTGTAGGAAAACTGTTAAGACAGTAAACACACAATGCTGTTCTATGGTTACCATCAGGTTACTAAAATTGGAACAGAGGGATCTACATTTGGAATCGCTAGGAAAAAAACCAATGGCATCAATATTTGCATGTTAATTGTGAACAAAAAGAAAATCGATACAACTCTGTAGAATATTGATTCACTACCTTTTCAACGAAACATCGCGATATACATTTGCGTATTGATATTTACTCACACCCCTGTTCAAAAGTACATTAGCTGTTCTTATTACTCCATTAAATTAACTCTTTAAAACGACATTGACAAGTTCGGAATTAAAATATGCAGTGTGTAAGAAAATCAGAGCAGTGTAAAAAAGCTTCACTGTGCCTTTGATCTTGCTTTGTACAGTGTGTGTGTGTGTGTGTGTGTGTGTGTGTGTGTGTGTCAGCAGCAGGCAGGGCAGCTGCTGTTGCATGCATTGATTTTTAAATGCAGAGGAGATGGCTTTATAGATCCACTGTCTGAGAAGAGCTGAGCACACTCATTACCTCACTCTCCAGAGTCTGCAGCGCAGACGTGCACACATGCTCGTGCACACACACACACACGCATCCACAAAGAAACAGACACACACTTACGCGCCCAAAGGTACAGACTGTGAAATTAGATCCAACGACAGGAAAACGTGAGGACAAATCGGTTGTCAAGGTGTTAATGAGTGATTCCACTGTTCTGTTAAATGTTCTCTCTGTGTGTGTGTGTGTGTGTGTGTGTGTGTGACCGCCTGTGTGTGCTTTTGAAAGTGTTTTAGCTGTATCCAAGAAACCATTTGTGTCTTTGCTATACATCGTCTCTATTTTACATATTATGAAAATCAAAAGTTTTTTTTCTTTTTTTTTGTTTTATATTGTATATATAATAGCGTTTAACAGGCCTTTGCATTTATCCCTTGCACACTTTATCTGCCTGAAGTTGACACAGACCAAAACAACACACTTGATAGAAATCATTAAGCCTTTATGTCTGCCAACTAGGAAGGAATCTTTGAGTCACCTTCATGAAATCTTAAAGGATACTCTCCTTTCTTTTACATTATCCACCTTCTTTTAGTGTTTATGTTACTGCCATGTAATACTTCTTATCAGTAAATCAGCCGTTTGAAGGTGTTTTTTTTTAACGTCGTCACTTTTACACTTACACTTACTTTTTTTAACGTCGTCACTTTTACACTTTTTTTGTTCAAATAAATTTCTTTTTGCAAATCAAAACAAAAAAATTCTTATGACCTTTCTGTGTGTCCAGGCTCAGTCTTTGGACCAAGATGATGTGTGACTGTAGCATTCATTATTTTAGTCAGGAACACACATGCACAAACACACATACGCCCCCGGTGAGACAGTAAATGGTTTCCAGACAGTGTGAGGAACGTCCCCACTCTCTGAGGGACCAACTAACATCTGCTGCCATCTGCTGTGTATGTGTCTGTGTGTGTGTGTGTGTGTCTGTGCACCTCCAAGTGCACGTGTGTCTGACAGACACCATATCATGTTATGGGTCCAGGATGAGGTCACTTGTTCTCTGTGAGACAGACGAACAGTGTCCACCTCTCTGTAGACAGAGGAACAGCAGGACTGATGTCGTCCGTACTGTACTCTCCACCAGGATTTTAGGAAATGCTTTCATCAAAATATTTTTTTTTCTGAAAATATATATTTTTGTGTGGATATCATAAATAAATTTTTTTAGCTCGCTGGCACAAAGTGAACACCGGAGGCAGCAGTAGACCAGTACCTTATTTTGTTCTGAGCTAAAATGAATTCCTTTTCAAAGGATTTACAGATAAGAAAAAAAAAATGTTTTCTGCACGTGAGGTTTCTCTTATATAATAATGTCAATATATACTGTGCACTGATATTTTTTACCAGTGATGAAAATGGATGTAGATATAAGGTCAAATTATAGTATGTCTGGAAATAAACATTATTTAAACTGATCAAGCAGATATTTTTTTCCATTAGTCAACTTTTTATAGTTGTGAAAAAATATCTGCTTGTAGATTTTTGCCTGGCCTGTCTGACATCAAATGTTAGACACCAAAAAGCCAAAGGAAGTCTCGGTCTAGATAAGCGTCCTCTCAGGAAGTCTGAAATCTGATTTTTGTCTCGAGAGACTCATTTGTAGTCACACAACTACAGCCGATAAGCTCCAGGCTTTTATCTGTTTATGGCAGCAGATAAATGCATTGTTGTCGCAGAAGACGTTACTGCGCCACACTACGGCAGAATAGTTCCTGTGCTTCAGTAGGCCTAACCTTCAAGAAGGCTCAGAAACACAGTCTGGCAGGCCGACGTCTTCACCTTTGATTTAAAAATGACTTCTTCCTTTGTTGCATTTAGAGTCTATACTCTGGTCCTGTCTACCATAGGCCTACGTGAAGTAATGTACAGTCAGTAGTACCTGCACAAGAATGTACACACAGAGTACATTTTCTATTTTCAGCCTCATTTGTACCAATGAAGTATTCAACAGTTTCCAAGAAAAAAAGATCTAAAATTAATTGAGTTCCCTTTTTATAGAATTGTCGTTTCCAAGCTTGTGAGCGCATGTACATGTGCGTGTGTGTGTGTATGTGTGTGTATGTGTGTGTCTTCCCGGCAGATGGTGTTTAATCCTCACTTTAACCATCTGGACTGACTTTCTCTGGCTTCTTTAAAGGCCCACACACTCATTCAGAGCACATTTATTCAGCATTTTCAGAGGTGTGTGTTCTTGTGTTTGTGTGTGTGTGTGTCCATTCAAACAACAGGGCACACTAACATCTTGTCCTTATTTTGTAAACAGTTTTTTTTCTGTCTCCTCATTTATCTTTGTTTATACACACACACCACAGACTGCATGTAATAGTTTTCAAAAGGTCCTGCAGATGGCGCTGTAAGGGTGGCCAAACCTTGAATCTGTTCTTTACCCACAAGTGGATAAAACCTTTTATTGAATAAAAAAAACAACAAAGAATCCAACAGTGTTTATTCAAGCATGATTTTTACAGCACAAGTTTTTGGTTAATTGAATAACGATTGATTGATTGATTGATTAGCTAGGCTGAAATTTGGTTAGGATTATGGTTAGCCTTCTGATAACGTGGGGGGAATTGGAGAGGGGACACACACACACACACACTGTGTGTGTGTTCATGGGCTTTGGCTTCTTCTAAAATGGAAAACTCTAATTCACTTACACTGATGTGAGTGGATACTGATGGGTACAGAGAGAAGAGAAAATATTGACTTGTAGGAAGAGGAAGCGGTGTGTGTGTGTGTGTGTGTGTGTGTGTGTGTGAGTGAGAGAGAGAGATCGTGAGAAAACAGAAAATCCAACTTGTGCTCAGTTTATTTTCTGTCCAGATCAGTCAGCGTATTCCCTTGTTGTAATGGGTGGAGTCAATGAGCGTGTGTGTGAGTGCATTGTGGGTAATGTCATTGTGATATCATGCTGATGTTGTAATCTGTGCAACCTGGTGCTGGCTTTCCTGAACCAACTGGGAGGCGACCAATCACAGACAAACAACACATACACACACACATACATATATATCCATTGAGATCAATGTGTTTGATGATTGATCTGCAGACAGAAAACATGGATTTATAAAAAAAAAAAGTTTAATCATCCGTCTTCTTCTGTAAAGGAACGGCAGGAAGTCAGATTAAAGTCTTAAAAACCAGCATCTTCACATTATATTTCTTTATGAGTTTGGTGGTTATGACTTATCTGTGGTTGTGATGACGATGCAGCAGAAAGGAATAGAGACATACTCTTATTATCCTTCTGTCTCTGTCAAAAGTCATTGTGACCGCCGCAGGAATTTGACACAGAGACTTGAAACCCACATCTTGTTTCATGTCTTTCCGCTTCTTTCTTCTCATTTTCTTCTCCACCTCCAGCTCTTAGTCTCTCTGTCTGCAAAGAATGCAACGTCAAACCTCCCTGCGTGTTCCTCATCTAACAGTCACTATTTTGATCACTCATTTATTACCAAACTTCTTCTGCACGTTTCTAACATATAATAGAGATAGTCTGTGTTTAGAAAGGCAACATTTTTTTAAAGGATTTTAGGAAAGAAGCAGGATTGTTATGATATCATATTTAATTGTCTTTGTGGGCGTGTATATATATATGTGTGTGTGTGTGACAGATGTGTGTCTTCCTGTGCAGATGTTGTTTCCAAGGAAACAATGACAGGACATGCTTTAATTGTCGCTGTCAAGTCCTGGAGGGTTTTCCTGTGTCTGTTACATATACAGTAACTTGTGCGACTTTCTGGGACTTGAACTTCTGGTCCAAAAGGTTTTGGACCAGTGTCGACGTGATCGTGTAGACGGACAGAGAATAGGAAGGCTGTTCTCAGCAGGGATGGAGGTGCAAGTAATGAAGAGGCTCATTTGTTCTGATCACAGAGGCTTAACGGACAACAGATGATGAGCTTTGATTTCTTCTTAATTGGGAGAGAGAGAGAGAAGCAGCCAAGCGAGGTAGAGAATGAACACAATGACACAACGAGCCAAGCGAGGTAGAGAATGAACACAACAATGCACACAGTGGCTTTACTGTCTAGCTGAATACACTGTAGGAATAATCTGCACGGTGACAAAAGTTTTTCTAAAAGTTTTTTCTTTAAATATGTATATATATATATATATATACATTTAAGTATTATTTATATATATATATTATTTAATTATTAAATAATTAATTGCAAAATGAAATGACATTTATTTAATTTACCACATGGTCCTTTATGCTGAATGTGCAGTATACTGTATGAGGTCTGATCATGTATGAAGGAGGCACACTTCCTGCTCCAGATACCATCTGCTGCCCATGTGACCCTGATGTTTTCTCATCCTGAAAACAGAGAAGTTTAAAATGCTGTTCTCACCAGCTCCTGAATTAATGATGATGATCTCTGCTCCTGCTCATTTTCTTCTTCCTCCTCCTCCTCCTCCTCCTCCTCATCTATACTTGATGCCCTCTGTCTGACTCTTGGTTCAATGTCTCTCCAGTCCCGTCCTCACTGACTTTGCCGCTTCATCCTCATCCCTTTTCTCTGTCAGTCTCATGTCTTTCATTTCTGTCGTCACACAAAACTATATAAAAATGTGATGACAGTACAGAAAATACAGTGTGTTAATAAAAATGTCAAAGTAGTACATCACAAAATGCAAAAAAAAATCATTTACGGTTCATAAAAAGTGACAATGTAAAAGAGTTATTTTCTTCTTCCTGATTTTCCTTTTTTATAATTATTTCAAATCTGTATCTTCACATTCTTAAAATGGCATTCCCATTCCTGTAATTGAAACTATTTCCAGTTTGTGTTTATGTTCTCTTGTCTTTGTCAAATAAATTCCTTGTCCTTTGTCCTTGAATTGTTTCCTGCCTTTGTCGTATTCACCCCCGTCTTTTTCTCTATGTACACAGATTATTCCCTTTCTTATCATTTCGATTATTATACTTTGTCATTTTCTTCCTATTATGTTTTTGTGAATTATTGATGGGGAGTGGGGTCAAAGTTCACCTCTCTCTCACTTTTCTTTGATGTTTGCCTCCTGCAGATTTCCTCTGTGCATGACACCCTGGCTCACTGTAGGTGGTGCTGTTACCCCGTGCTGTCTGCTCTGTGTGTGTGTGTGTGCTTGTATGTAAGCGTTGTTCTGTGTGCAAACAGAAGGTTTAACATAATTTGATTAAAAACAGCTGATTGCTGAAGAGAATGATCAATAATAGCTGACTGATTGATGTTTGCGTGTGCGTGCGTGAATATTTGCGCGCTTGTGTGTGATACATGATCCTCAGACAAGGCCGCAGGAAATGCACTTTATGTCTCTAACCTGACAAATCCCAAAGGGTTAGGGTTAGCGCTTCCCCGTCTCTCTCTCTATTGCTTTCTCTCTCTCTCTCTCTCTCTCTTTGTGTGTGCTAATTTGATTGCGTAACAGGCTTAAGGCCAGGACAGATTGTCGGGAATGGAATCCCACCCTCTCAGTCCATGACGCCAGCTGACACACACACACACATAAACACATCCACTGATGGTAAAACAATGTGAACTGGACTTAAAAACAGGAAGTCCACCTGCATGTGTTGGTTGATGTAATAATTGATTACAGCAGGGGCTGGAACCCTTGAAAGAGCTTGATTTGTTTTCAATAAAGTCTTTAAATCATTTTATTGCTTAACCGTTAATCAGAAGAATCACTAATTAGACATGAAAAATAAAAACAAGAAGTGAAAGTGAAAAAAGAGAAAACGCTGCACTGCTGTCCTGCTAATTAAAGGCTCACTTTTGTACCTGAAACTAGAACCCGGACCTGAAAGTCCGTCTGTCAGAGACGTTGACAGAGTACAGCATCAGCAAAGGCCACAACAGGTGGAGCTCAACCAGTAAATGTCACGCATACTGCTGCTGCAGCACTAAAGCATTGTGTACATTGTGTACATTGTGTTTTTGTGTGGTGGTGGTGTCAGACAGGTGGGGGATTTTGATTAGTGGGTGGAGGCACTTAAATAAAAACAAAAAACTTAGTGTTTGAAGGTTCCTAGTTTCAGTGTCAGTCCAGGACCAGGAGCACGGGTCACAGTTTACAAAAATTGTCCACAATCTCTGAATGTAAAATATTTGTAGTCGACTTTTTTTGTATTATTTGTCTCATTTCTGCTGCCAGATGCCTGGAGACTAGAACTAGAAGTTTTGTTAAGGCCATGTGAAGGTTTGTTGCACGGTGGATTCACTTTGTGCCTGATGAAAAACTCTCTTGTTCAGCTGTTGCTGGAACAGAGGGAAAGTAACAGCAGGTAGATGTGTATGTGTTTCACACCTATGTGAGTTTGTTATTAGTCCAAATGATGAAATTGTTAATATGGAATAATGTCAGAAATATACCCAGTATAACAGTTTAAGTCTTGCATCACGACATTGGCTTCTAGAGCCCATTTAACCAGGCTAACACCGTTGTCTTTAGCTATTTTAATTGGTCCATATTCCCAGCCAATCTGTTTAAAAAAAACACAGGATGATGAAGATCATGTTTGGGAGTGATCAGGCTTCTGTTTAAGGCAGGCAGCATTTTGGCTGTCTGACTGGATACTGGTTTAAGACCTGTGTTGCCATAGCTGCTGGTTAGTTGTGTAGTGAGTTTGTGGGGATTTCCTGGTGCCGTGAGTCCATGGTCAGGGAGGTATGTCAGCATGGAGTATATGGGGATCTCCACAACACCTGATGGAAACACTGGGTGGAAGGTTACTGTTTAGTCTTAGTGTGTGTGTGTGTGTGTGTGTGTGAGGGGAGGGTGTTTCCATCTTAATTTGGGCCCCCACCCACCTCCTTTCAGTATCCCCCTCACACTGACTCACTGTCCTTCAGCTCCTATCACACCCTGCCTCCTCTTCAGTCGTTCTCTTTCACTTCATCATGACACACTGCACGGTAAAGCCTAAACCACCGGCGTGCCTTCGCCCAGTTTTGGGTCTCATCAGAACTTTAAGGTGTCGCTTAAAGTCTCTTCGACGACTCCTGCTGCCGGACCGTCACTGTCCCCAGCATCAACCGGCCCAAACATTTGGTGGCGTCTGCTGGGATCAACCAGAACTTAACAGAGTAAACGTCCTCACCTGTTCTGGTCCAGGAGAACTCAGTATGGCAGTGAGTAGTCAGGCTTCTGTTAGAGCTCATGTCGATCCAGAAGTGTTCACCTTGTGACTGACTGCTGGTCAGTAAATCTGCTGTTGACTAACCCATCCCTCTCAGTAAACATTGTTTTAATCAGATTTAATGTGTCATGCAAAAAAAGGGCAACGTTTGTTTCATTGTTCTTAAACAAATCAATCATTTGAGTATTTAGTTCATGACCAGGTCTGTTTTTTTTAGCCTCATATATCTTGCAGTAATTTAAATTTAGACCTGTTTAAGTTGATATGAAATGCCAAAAATTAGGAAAAATGTTTTTTTTAAAAACCCCACTGACCTTATGCGTGTTGCTGAGTTTGTTTGTGTGTGTGTCTGTGTGTGTGTGTGTGTGTGTGTG